CCTTGGGTGTCAAATTCAGTGTCACCTTTTCTCTTCTGCAGGAATTCATTTTGGAGGGAGAGAAGGAAATCATCATGTACCAGGATGACCTTGAAGGTGAGGATCTCTTGCACTTCTGCGGCTGCGGGCACTCCACGGTTGAGGGTGGTGGCTAAGAGACAGGAGCTGGGTGAAAGAACACACATTGGACACACTCTATGTGTGAAAAATGTAAAATAAAATTCCAGCCTGCACGCTCAGTGACTGTGAAAGTTAAGGAAAGTTAGCAAGGGGAAAGGATGAAGATTAAGTCATGGACTCCACTATTTCTGCGAGGATTCACACATGCAAAAACCAAACCAAAGCTGAGGCTGGTTACTTGCTGGTGCTGGATTCTTTCTCAGAGTCCATTGGTGGAAGAATCTCATTTTCTTTTTTTAACTTTTTTAAGCAAAAATTTTATTCCAACATTTTAACTGAAATGCATTGAGACTTCCTGTCAAATGATGCTCTTGTTTGAAAATTTATACTTCTCTTATTTATGTTTGGTTTTGTGAAAATTCTTTTCTCACTGTTTCTCCCAGAGACATCTAGAAATACTGGTTAAGAGGGAGGACTAACATTTTAAATCAGAAATTCAGAGATTTTAGTTGGACTTTTGTCAGATCACAGAGTGTAGTGAGTGAAAAACATTAGCAAGTAAGATTCCATGAGTCCTTGGCTAAGCAGAGGACTTTCCAGCTCTTCCTTAAAGTCATGCCATCTGACATGTCCCTTCCCCAAGATGGTGGCAGGCCCAGGGAGGTCTGCTGGCTGGTTTTCATGCTTGCAGTGTATGGGCACTTGTTCATCGTGTCTTCTCCTCGTGACCTCAGAAGGAGCATGAGTCTTAACTCTTCTCAGGAAGAGGAGTAAGGTCCTCATGGAGAGCACAGACTTCTGTGGAGATGACCCTGAGGCCTTAGCCACATCTGTGCCTCCAGAACTCAGAAGCCAGGGAGGTGCTTGATAAATAACTAAGAGAGGAAACAACCTGGGGTGGGGTTGACCCATGCCCCATACATAATAAGCTGTTGATCTTGTGTTGATGGTTAAAACATATGTATTTGACTGAGAAATGGCTCCAAGCTATATTGGAAGAGAAGATGGTCTTGCAAAGACCAGCCTGTATAAAATGTGAGTTTTTTGGCATGACAGGGGAGAAGCCATTTCTGTCACCCTCATGGGGATAGGATCAGTAGAGAGATGCTGGCTGGATCACCCAGGTGGACACAAAGTAATTTGCACCTGGTAGCAATGGTACCAATGAGCAGCTGTGAATTGCTTCAAGCTGCATAGCTGTGATGAAAGTTGAATTCTGTAAAGGTCCCTGTGGAAAGTAGTGGGTGTGTGAATAGCAAGGCCAACTTTCCAAGGCAGGAATCTTTCCACTATGCCTTTTTGAGGAGGTGAGCCATTTTTAAAAATATTAGGCAGCAATGGGTTGGGACATGGTTCTACAGATGGAGAAATCGCAAGCTAGAGATCGCAAGCTAGCTGCGAGTGGAGGTCCAGGTTACAAAGGTGAGGGCTCTGGTTTCTGATGGTGTCTGCTTTCCTAGGGACGGCAGTTTGCTGGCTCCCTGGTTCTGACCTTGGTACTAGGAAGTTCCTTTTTCTATTTTTCTCCATGTAAACTGATTTTCCCCCATTTAACATTATGTTTTGCTTCATTCTTGGATATCATGGTGTTTTATTCATAGTCTGGAACATTTCCTAGGCGCTGCTGGTCATGGAAGGTGGAGGGCGAGACAACCTGGATGGAGGATTGTGAAACCGGGGACCTGGGTTCATGCTGGAGTTCAGCTTCATGGGGTTTCCCGTCCTGTTGTGAGGTTTTGTACACGGAACAATGTCCATGGTCACAAGTAAACTGGCTGTGCAATTAAGAATCTGGTATGGTGACAAGAGTCAGAAGGTTAATCTGTTCATCCTGGTCATTTTAAACAACACCTCCTTTATGTTAAAAGATTTTTAGAGAGAGGGAAAGAGATTTTACAATGTTTTTAAGCAAACTGTGTCTAGATTCAGAAACTTGCTATGAAGGACTTCCTTTTTTTCTTTTCTTCACTTAGCTAATTTTTTAAAGTATTTTTTAAGTATTGCTTTAGCACCTTTTTAATGAAATAGAAACTCAGTTCTCTTGCTGGTTAAAATGTGCTCCTAGGGTATTTTAAACTTTCTCACTGTCTTTCTGATCATCTTGGTCTTGGATTGTTAGTGCCTTCCTTCAAACGTTTTAGCTTTTATCAAGGTTCTTTCCTTAATATTATTCACCTTTCCCAGTATTTTAAAATTATTCCACTGAAAATGAATTTTGTATTCTCCGTAAGACCAGGAGAGGCTCTTGTAGAATATAGTGGGGTTGTTTTTTTTTTCTTCTGTGTCCGAGCCTTCAATGAACAGTCCCCGACAGGATCATTTGTAGCTCATGTACTGTTTGCTGGGGAACATGCCGTCCTCACTACTGGTTGTTCCTCCCCTCGAATCTGGCATCTCGGGGCTTCTACAAGTTCCACATCAGTCTTGGGCTTCATTGGCTTTAGACCAATGTCTCCTGGGGTGGCCGTGGTTTCTTTGGGTTGTTGAGAGACCAAAGCATAGGTTTGGAATCAGAAGCCCTAGGCTGGGACTCCAGTTTGGTCACTCAGAGGCTGTGTGATCAGAAGGATCTGGACTTGCATTCTGCATTATTAGGTTGGAGCAGGATCCTGTCATATTCCCCGAGCCAAAATAAATGATGGATGTAGAAGCCTTTATAATAATAACCAGATGAAAATAACACACACACACACATAGTGGTATATGTAATATTGTTGCAAGCAAACCACTTTATTCTGAAACTTACTTCTGATGCACAAAAGTCTGCTCCACACTGAGGCATGGATCCACTCACCATTTTTACCCAGTGTCGCCATGGCTCACTGGGACAGGGCTCCAGAGCCTGCTGGTAGGAAGTGGAGGTCAAAGGTAACATCACTATAACAGTGCCTGGCCCACAGTGACAGGTGCCCTGGGGCAGCCTTTGGTCATTTTCCCTCAGGTCCAGGCACCTGCATGCAGCTCATTGCCCTTCTGGCCTCCCTGACTGGGTTGAGCTGCCTGCAGATCTGCTAGGGTCTTGCTATTGTTTCCCAAGGTGCTGCAGGAAGTCTTAAGAACTCAAAGATTCTGTCTCTGTGAGGGGCTCCCTGCTCACAAGGACTGGGTTCTTACTTTTTACTTTGGCATCAAATAAAGTGTTTCTTACTCCACTTCCTCTGCTCCCAGAGACTGTGAGCCTAAAACCAGGGCAATGTGTTTGTTCCGAAGTGTGATTCTGCTTGCTGGTCACACTCTGCTCGTGCCCTGTGCCCACTGTCCTCCTGGTTTGCTCCCTTAGCCATTGGGTACTCTATACGATAATGCAGTTTTGGGATTTTGGCATCTTCCCACTTTAACGTCCTTGCTTGGATCTCTGTGGGTGTGGACGCACATGTGTGGCTTGAAGGAGGCCAGCCAGAGTCCCTGGCTGCTCCCCACTCCATGCAGTCATGTCTGTCCCTGTACTTTCCCAGAGACACACCAACTCTTTGTTTGAAATTCAACACAGTGTCTGGATGATCCTAGATCAGGTCCAGTTCCTTCTGAAGTTGCTGCTCCCTGTAACAGGACTCATGAAATGAAACCCAATCTTGTTTTGTGACTGTTTCCATGTGGCTGTTCAATCCCTCGCCTGCAGTTGGGTCCCAAGGGGGCAACTGGATATTGTGAAGGGCACAGTGTTGTCCTAGGGATGGTTCAAGCCATTTTAATCATGTGCTAATCCAGTTGGAAGCTTACAATATTTTGTATCACAATTAAAGGAACCAGGGGTCTGGAAAATCTCCTCTCCATGAGACTCTCTCATAAAGAAGCACCAGTCTCTAACACCTCACACTGACTTCGAGAAGACATGGGTGGGAAGAGAGGCAGGTGCAGCAGGGGCCTCATTGCAAAAACTCCATTACAGTTATTTGCAATGAGCTTATTGACATCATTTCATAAGTTCAAGTTTGCAGATGTAGGACCACAGCACTTGCCTCATTCACACGCCTTCCAAGGGAGGAAAAAGCAGGTGCCATAGCAGGTGCTGTCTAACTGAAGTGCTTTGGAGGTGCGCAGTGTGGAGCCAGCAGCTGGGGTCATCATCAGGGCCTGGTCACCTCTGCAGAGCCTCCACACTGCGGAGTTGGTGCCTGCACGTCTATACCGATCCCTGCAGTCAGGGCTTGGTTCTGGTTGGATTCCTCACTTCTTCTGAGCAAATCTTTTCCAGTATCTGGAAGAAATGCCAACAGACTTTTGGACAAGGCTGTTATGAGCTGGTTGATATTAGAAATAAAAAGAACAGGATGATCCATAACTGGTTTTTTTCACTCTGAGAAAACTGTCCTGGGTTTGTTTGCTTTTCAAAGCAAAATGCAGCATAGCCTTTGGAGCTCGGGGCCGCACCTGAGAGACAGAGGGTCCAGGGACTCACTAGGTTCATTTCTCCTGCAGGTGATGTTCAGATTCCGGGACCTCCCACCAACGTGCAAGCCTGTGAGATCAGCAGAAATTATGTGGTCCTCAGCTGGGACCCCCCCACTCCCCGGGGCAAGGAGCCGCTAATGTACTTCATCGAGAAGGTACGCCGCCAGGCTCCTGACAAAGCCCACCTCACGCTGCCTCATGTGCTGTGCTTGATGGCGGGGCGGAGACCCCATCAGTCACTACAGCTCACGATGCTGTCACTTAAGATGAGGCTACGGGAGGTGGGGGCAGAACTGTGACCACAGGGGCTGTTCTGCGAAGGAAACTGACTAGAGGGAAAAGGTATTCAAGTTGGGCTTTGCTCCCTCCTGTGTGAGCAGGGCTGGTGCTCGGCATTCTGGCCTCTGGGTCCCCCATGGTCCAGCCAGGAGCTGGGCTTGCTGGCTCCGCACTCTCCTTCCTGCTTCAGAAGACAGTAGGGGTCCCTGGGAAGCAGCAGGTCACCCATACTCAAGTTTTGCACGCAAGCCGAGTGGCCACTGGGTGGCAATCTTGTAGAGGGAGCCGTGCCAGCTGAGAAGGCTTTGTTGACCTGGAGACACAAATTACAACATGGATTGTACTTTTCAGCTCAGGGCACACACACCCACCCACATACATGTACACACGTGCAGCCAACGCCACAAATGAAAAACCAACACTGCATTTTTTCTTATTACTCTTTAGAGTCCTTCAAACCCTGTATGGTTGTTTTGTGATACTGAATTTATATCAGAATATGAAATAGAATGGAATATGTAATTCAGACATACAGCAGGGGACATGACACTTACATGAGCACATGCTACAAGCACAGCAGAAGCAGAATGGGAGTGAGTATTTCAGACTCCCCCGGCTTCCCTGTTTATCTGCCATGCTTGGTGAGCTGACCACAGTAACTGGATGGCAATGTGGTTGTTAGTCTTATGAAAGCACAAGTGAAGCTATCCTCAGATGGAGGCACTTCCTCGGCCCCTCATTTCTCAGCTCACTGGAAGTGTCAAGCATCACAGACACACATAGAAGGAGGACTCCATCTTGGAGCCAGCCTGTTGGGGACCTGTTCGGCTGCCAGTGGTGGTGGCCCAGCAGACATGTGGTTTGATAGAGATGAGGGATCTCCCACACAGCTGCAGTGAGCAATGCTGTCTGGACCCCGGGTGCTGTGCACAGTGGGGACCTGGTGGGGCTGGAATTTTCACTTAGCACTGGAGCTGGGAGACACCAGGTGTGGGGACAAATGCCATGGACTCTTCTGCAATCAGCTTATGGGGACTGGTCCATCCCAGTCTCGATAGTGTGATCTTGGGGTGACTTGTTCCTCTCACGTCCCCCAGAGGACTGTGGGAATAGTCACTAGTCACAGCTCGCTCCTCTCTCCATGGCTCCTGAATGTTCTGTCTGTGCTAAGCCCATGCACGAGGCAGTGTGAACTGCAGTGACATAAACAATACCTTTGGCTTTGGCCTGTCCATCAGCTCACATTGGAGTGCATGGTGCCAACATGGAATTTCCCCTAAGTGAGCCCTGGGTGTCCCTCCAAGTGTGCTGCAGCCGAGCGTTCTCTCCTCTGGGTGGGTCACAATGCAAAGAGTGATCCTCCATGTGTGGGTGATGAGCTCTGTGATGCCCTGTGTGTGAGGTGGCAGGCCTGGCACCTGCTGTGTAGTGCCCAGGTATGCGGCCAGCAGGCCCTAAGAGGACAGATGACTCAGGAATTGGGTTTGGCCCCAAGCCCTTCTTGGGCTTGTAGACACGTGCTACAAGGCGTGGCAGCCTACACTCCTTCAGGGTCTTGCTCTTTGTACAGGATGGTTTTTTTTCCTCTGGCCTGCCTGGGCTGAGTATCTTCTGTGGCCCTTCTGCTGTCTAGACAGGACTTACAGAGCCAAGAGGGGAGTGACCCTCAGGACGCCAGTGGAGCCTTTTCATGGGCACCGGCTTCCATGAACACTTCCTAAAAAGTGGCTTCTGCTCTTGCCAAAATGAAAGAAGACTTATGCTTTAACCATGAACCTGACTTCCAGAGCCCGGGTCGCTGTCTGACACTCTCCCGGTTATTGTCAGTAGGTGTCAGCAGGATCAATGTACATCCTCTTTTCTTGCCCCCAAATTACTTTCAAAAAGAGAATTTTATCTTTGTAGGAAAAAAACCCAAACATAACTGAGTTTTTAAATATCCCAAGGATGAGAATTGTACATGTAGTGTAGGAATTTGTTAGACTACAGAGAAGTTGTGCAGAACAGAGTTAAAATCACCAATAATTCATCATATAAAATAGCCACTCTTAACATGTGATGCAGAACACTCAGTCTTCCTCCACAAGCTTTGGTTTTTGGCAGTTCAGGGGTCTTGTGCTTGCTAGGCAGGTGCTCTACCACTTGAACCATTACCCCGCCCCCACCCCAGCCCCTTTTGCATTAGTTTATTTTCCAGGTTAGGTCTGAGTTTTCCTGCCTCAGACCTCAATCCTCCTACCTCTGCCTCCCTCTTAGTTGGGATTACAGGCATGAGTCACCATACTCATCCCTGCCACAAGCTTTTTATGCACTTTGCATTGCATCACAAAATGACATATTCCTCTCATTAGAGTTGTGTCCTTATGCAATGATTTAAGCAGCTATATGTTTTCCAGTATCTGAGCACACTGTCACATGCCTTCTGCTGTTGGTGACTAAACTTTTTCACTACTGTAAGTAGCTGCAATCTGGTACACATTATTACATATGAACCACTGAGTAGCAATGGAATTTTATGAATGTTCTCATTTATCTTTCATTATTTACAGTTCGTTCTGTTTTACTCAGACTGCAACCAACACACTAGTTCCGTATATTTTCTGCAGTTTACTTCCTTTAATGGAGACATTTTTTAGTAAAATTCCAAACTCAGGCAAGTTCTTACCTATTTCTCCAAATTGGCATCACGGTTGTAAAATTCACAACCGACTTCTTGTCCCTGAATTGCCGTTTCCCCCTCACCTTGGGCTCCTGCCTCATTCCCCTTCTCTGCCTCCCTCAGTCTGTGGTGGGCAGTGGCAGCTGGCAGCGAGTTAATGCCCAGACGGCCGTGAGGTCCCCACGATACGCCGTCTTCGACCTCGCTGAGGGAAAGTCCTACGTGTTCCGGGTGTTGTCAGCCAACAAGCACGGCCTGAGCGACCCCTCGGAGATAACGGCTCCCATCCAGGCGCAGGACACAACAGGTGAGCCGTGCTGGAGAATGGATGAAGTCCACCTGGGTCATGGTCAGTGCCACTGCCCAAAACCTCATTTCACAAGGACACAGCTGTCGCTGTGTGTGGTGGCTCTCAACGGGGCTTCAGAGTTCTGTCTTCTTTCCACGAAACCAACAAAGGTTGAAAAGTATGTCCCCCCACGGTCACCTAAAAAACCCCAGGCCTAAATGTAGAAGTTTCTCACCCTCTGGCTTGCAGGAAGATTTCAAATGCAGCTCACAGGAATTCCGAATTGGTCCATGCCAGGTGTGGCCCTAACAGGAGGCCTGCTGGAACCTGATGCTTTTGCACAAGACGGGTCTGGTGCCCAGAATTCCTGTTCTGACAGCCTAGCTGGGACTCCACTCCCCTCCCCCTCATGCTGTGTTTTACAAGAAAGGTTGATATCAAAACCAGCAGGTGACAGGCTGGCACCAGGACTAGAGTCAGGCTGCTTCTGGTCCTCCCTGGTTCTGGTCTGGTTCTGGTTTAACTGAAGGCCTTAGAATTCAAATCCAGAACTACGGGCTGACACACTGCCCCTCTCAGCAGAGGCCTGGCCTGTATTCACTTCCTGGCACATGGAAAAGTGACAATAATTAACAGGCATGGGGATAAAGCCCAGGTGTCTGGCCGATCCAGTTGGTGGCTGAGGTGGCTGGTAACCCAGGCAGCTGGCTCTGGGTCAGTAGTGACATCGGCGCTAAAGGACCGGTGACCACAGTCCACTGGGGCCTGACATGAGATGGGGAGGCCTGAGGGTTGAATTGTGACTTAATTCTGAGTCGCTTTACAGAGCCCCAAGAATCTGACACATTTCAATATGGCCTTATGTAGTCAGGCAAACTCTTCAGGCCCCTGACCCTTTCTGGCAGCTCGATGGAGGTGCAGATTTCTTGGTGGTAATTATTTTCCTTCAGAGTCAGGGGTATACTGGGAGTGGCAGGCTGTCCCACCTCCCCTGCTGTGCCCAGCCCTTATGCCCTTATCCAGAACCTCCAACCTAGCTTGCACCCCTGTGTCTCTGGGGTAGCTTGCTCTGACCTGCCTCCCCATCTTCCTGCCTCCCCGCAGTGGTTCCTTCTGCCCCGGGGAGGGTGCTTGCTTCCCGGAACACCAAGACGTCAGTCGTGGTGCAGTGGGACAGGCCGAAGCACGAAGAGGACCTGCTGGGCTACTACGTGGACTGCTGTGTGGCAGGGACCAACCTGTGGGAGCCGTGCAACCACAAGCCCATTGGATACAACAGGTGCCCTCTTGCCTTTTGTCCCCGAGGCCAGTGCACTGCTCCGGGGGAGGGGGGCAGAAGCAAAGCACAGAGCACCAAGTGGCTGCCAGTGTGAGCGGCCAAGGCAGAACTTACCTGGGACGCCCTGTGGACACCTCTGTTTGCTGGGGAGCTGGTGAGGGGTGTAGAACTCTGGAGGGCTGACCACATGGTGGGCTGGCCACCACCCCTGCTCCTCTCCCCTGAGGGGATTTGTTTGTGGATGGGGAGGTTTCACAGCCTGCATGTTTCTGACATAATTAGTACACAGGGCCTTTCTGTGAATGGGGCTGGAGCTGGCTACGACGATGCAAAGTGGTTTTATTGTGTTGATGTTTTGAATTCTTTCTTCTATCTTAAATAACAATGATACAAATTTATGGGTGCAGTGTGATGACTCAGGGCATGTATACCACGTGTAATGCTAGCTAAAATTTCCCAACTCCTTTCACATTTAAAAAGTTTTAGCATGTAATAACAATTGTGCATATTTATGGGATTTAGTGTGACATCACAATACTTGTACAGAGTGGGCTCAGCCCTGCTTTGTTCACACAACACACAGACCCATTCTCCAGCCAGGACGAGACAGAGCTTTGCATCTGGGATTCATTTACTCCTGCATCCTGCTGGGGGTGTAGAGATGTCTGCGTTTGTTTTTTTTTTTCATGCTGCACTTCAAAAGAAAGCATAGGTGGCTGATGGGATCCCTCTGTGGGTAGGTTGGTACTGACAGCTTTGCCATTTTCCCCCTTTAAGTCTGTTTTTTAAAAGGACATCGTAAAAAGCTGTGGCTAGCAAAGAAGGGGTATAATTGAGGCAAGTGACAGCTGGACAATCCGTGGCCAGCAATACAAAAGATCCATCAGAGTGAGAGACTTATGCAGATTCTCGTGCAGGGATTTTGAAGTGGATTATATATTTTGTTGACTATAAATGGTAAATACTAATTGCTTAGATTTACCAGGCTCTTGCCAGCGCAGGGCAGCTGGGCTAAGTTCTTTCCATATTGGTTCTCATTTGATGCTCACTGCCAAGTGAGGCAGGTCTAAACCTGGTTCCCGAGATGGGAAATGAAGCGTTTTAGGGCTGAGAACATGAAGTCTGGGAGGTGTCAAAGCCAGAACTCCAGCCTCATCTGTGTGACTTCCAGGTCTTGGTCTCTGCCCTCTAGGATGTCATCCCTTCTGTCAGCTTTAGATCCAGGGGGTCCTGCAGGTCAGGACCTTGATATTATCTTATGGCCGATGGAACCAGAAAATGTAGAAACAAAGCAGCCTCAGAACCAGTGACTCTAGCACTAAGTGGGGCGTGCCTTCCTGAATGTGAATTAATTCACAGATATTGAAAACGCAGGGTGCACAGGTGCAGACACGAGGCCCTGAAACTTCCTGTTGGTCTGAGTGAGAATGTTTTATGCGGTGCTCAAAATGCTCTTTCCTTCTGCTCTAGGGGCAAAAGTAAATGAGCTATGTCCTGACTTGTGTCCCTCAGGTTCGTGGTGCACGGCCTAACCACTGGCGAGCAGTACATCTTCCGGGTGAAGGCCGTCAACGCCGTGGGCACCAGCGAGAACTCCCAGGAGTCTGACGCCATCAAGGTCCAGGCGGCCCTCAGTATGTACAGCACGGGCTGGCGAGCCTCTGCATTTTGTCATTTTTTGTAGTCATTTTATAATGATGCCATTTGCACCGTGACCAGAGGAAAAGGGGATGGAGGTTGTTAACAGCGCGTGTGATTCTGCTGGAATGCCTCTCACTGGCTGCTGGTGCTGGAGGTGCCAGTGTGAAGTGATCGAGCACTCCCGAAATACAGATCAAAGATGGAAATGTCTGCAGGTCCCACTCGCTCCCAAATGCTGGCACTCACACTAAAATACCTGTGGTAGTGCAAGAATTTCTCTTTTCAGAATACATGCATGTAGGACACATTTTAGGGTTCCACCTGTCTGTGTCACTTTGTAGCTTTATCCAGGAATAGCCATGTTTTAAAATGTCTATCATTTTGATCAAACAAGACAATTTGGATCTAAAATCTTGGTGCAGTCCCTAGAAAAGCTGATGTGCAGAGCTCAGTGTCTCACAATTGTCACTGTGGTTCTTTCCTCTCAAGCACTCTGTGTCGCTGATTATATTCTGGAAACACAAATGTCACATCCGACACACTTTCAATCACAGTCCTGTCCTTTCACTTCTGGGAGAAGCTTATTTCATCTCCAATTAAACTGACCTACATTTTTGGAAGTTAAGATTTTCCTGGACTGTGGAGTCTGGTAACTGCAGGTGGTGCAGGAGCAATCTCAACCTCCCCTGCAGGGACTTCCAGGCTTCCCATTTGCCTTTTGACACCATTCCTGCTGGAGGAAAGGAAGCCCAGGATTCAAGCGTTTCTTAGGGCTCACCTGCCCGTCAGTCACAGAGGACAATGTACCTACTGTCTGCAGGACCAGGGGAAAGCAGGGCCATGTTCCTGCTCTAGCTGGTAGGAGCAGAAGATGCCCTCCAGACATGGCACTTAAGCCGGGGAGGGAAGCTCAGACCTGCTCCCCTGCAGGACACTGGCACTCTCTGAGTTGCCAGAATCAGTCACACTTTTCCCCTCTGGCCCTGCACAGAGGTCGTTCTTCAGGGACCAGAGAGGGAAACTTTTCTCCAGGGTCTACACCGGAATTACACACTTTGCTGTCCTCGTATCTGTGAGATACTGCTAAATACCTTTAGAAAGCACAGTTAAATTTTTACCTGTTCCCTCCATTTACTTGTGAATTTTTTATTAGCATATGATAGTTGTAAGGGGGAGGGGAGGGGAAGGATGCATTGTGAGAGTTACATGTGTGCTTACGATGTATCTTAGATTCACCCCTCCATCCTTCTCCCTCCCCCCGCTCCTCCCCTTCTTAGAACAATTCCAGCGGGTTTCATTCTCCTGTTTTCATGTATGAATACGAAATACACCCACCATATTCTCCCTCATTCACCTTTCCTTACACCCATCCCCTCTCACTGGTACCCACTCCCAGAAAAGACTTATTTTACCCTCCTGCCCTTCATCTTCTTAAAAGTGGGTATTGGTGATCCAAGGGGGTTTTGCCTTAGTATTTGAGGCCTGTATATATCATGCTTTAAGTCAGATTAACCCCCCATTGCTTAACTCTTTCTCTCCATGCTCCCTGATTTTTCAACGGTTACATTGCATTCATATATGGATGGGTTCTTTAATATTTCTCATTCTCTAACGTTTTCTTTCCCTCTCCACCTCCTGTAGTCCCCACAGATAGACACTAATACAATCTTGGCTCTCTCTCACACACACACACACACACACACATATGAGCATAATATTATTTATAGAAACGTGACTTACAGGTCCAGCTTCACATATGAGGGAAAAAATGCCACCTTTGACTCTTTGAGCCTGGCTTCCATGAAGCTCTCTAGTTCCATTCATTTACCTGCAAACAACACAATTTCATTCTTTGTGGCTGAATAAAATTCACTGTGTAGAAATACCACATTTTCTTAATCCACTCATCGATAGTGGAGCATCTGGGCTGTTTCCATAGTTTAGCTCTTGTGAATGGCGCTGCAATAAACATGGGAGTGCAAATTACTCACTCCCTTTAAAGGAAGACATGAGAACAGCAGCAGTGGTTAAGGCGAGTCCAGAGGTGCGGGGACACTGCACCGGGTCCCTGGCCCCCACTCCCCTCCCCTGCTCTGGAGCCAGCCGCACGGTGAGGTTGGGAGCACACTTCTCTGGCCCTGGTAACTTCCACGCTGTGTGTACTTGCAGCTGTCCCATCCCATCCGTACGGGATCACGCTTCTGAACTGCGACGGCCACTCGATGACCCTTGGCTGGAAGGTGCCTAAATTCAGTGGTGGCTCGGCCATCCTGGGATATTACTTAGACAAGCGCGAGGCTCACCACAAGAACTGGCATGAGGTCAATTCGTCACCCATCCAAGAGAGGATCATAACGGTTGGTTTTTATTTGTTTGTTTATTTTTGCCTGGGTGTCCTCTGCACTCTGGACAGACGCCTTCATTCAGTGTTCAGAGTTCAGTGGCGTTAGGTGGTTTGGTACGGAACCAGAAGTGGATTAAATCCCAGTGTCATGACAGCCTGCAGTTTGGGGACTGCAAGTACCTTAGGAAACTTTCTTCTGAGAAACAATGGAGGAGCAGAGAGTAATTGAGTGAGTCTGACAGGCAGTCAACAACCACCTGTCTCTTATTCTAAGCTTGAACCTTGGAGGGCAGGGTTACCAGCCCAGGTGTGTTTCTACCCTTGGCTCAGGGCTCAGGGCTCAGGGCTTGGGACAGAGGTGGAGCTGAGCAGGTGCTTCTGAGAGGATGGTGCTGCTCTTGGATTGCTGTCAGCCTTTTCTTGGAAACCCTGCCTCTGCAGTCTTGTGCCATGGTGCATATTACACTCAGGTGCCGAGAGTGACAGAGCTGGTGTCGAATCCAGACGCAAACTGGGTTTCTTTTTCACTTGTTCAAGCCTTTGGTTCCTCCTCTGAGCATTGTCTCACCTGACCTGGGCTCAGCAACCCTGGGGCTCAGCTCAGCTCACCTGGAGCTCAGCTCACCTGGAGCTCACCCCATTACTCCTACGGAATGAGCTGTCTCACAGGAGATGTACAGGCTGGGAAGTGAGGGACTTGGGGTACAGTCTAGAGCTGCAATCCTGTCCTTTAGGCAAGTGTGCTGTCGTCCCCATAGGAGCGTTTATGAAGCGAATGGAGGTTAGCATGGTGACTGTGACTTGCCAGGTGCAAAAATGGCCTTAGTGGCCGAGTGACTTAGTCTCATTTGCTGACACAGTCCTTTCACTTATATTTCACTTTACAAATCCATCACAAACACTTTGTTTCCCCAGTGGATCGTAACTTATCCTTTATTTCCTGTATTAACTGAAACAAAATCTGCACAGGTGGAGGGCTTGACAGAAGGTTCCTTGTATGAATTCAAAATTGCTGCCGTCAACCTGGCCGGAATCGGGCAGCCATCAGACCCCAGCGAGCACTTCAAGTGTGAGGCCTGGACAATGCCAGAACCCGGTGAGCTGTCCTTCTGGGTGCGCTGTCCTCTTGGACACACTGCCTCACCAGGGGGCTGGCCACAGGGGCCTGCTCATCACCACCTGTTTGTCACAATGATCTGGTGACCATTCACGTGACACAGACTGTGGCGTTGGGACCAGCAGTGTCTGAAGTCTGTGCTGGGCACAGACAGGAGCAGGTGATGGGAGGAGGGGATAAATCTCAATGCAAGCTGGGAGGCAGAACATGGAAGGGACCGTTAAGTCAGGCAGCAGAGGCAGGGACAGTGTCCAGGATTGACCATGTGCACGTAGTACCTGACCAATTACCAGGACCTGCTTCTAAGGAGCTGAGAGAAGTGGAGGGAAGAAGAAAGTCCCAGGCAGGAGGGAAACTGAGGCAGCCCAGCTACAGGCTGAGAATCAGATAGCATCTGGGCTTCCCTCTGTGTGTCAGCTGTGGCCCTGCAGGGGCTTGGGCCTACGGTTCTGAAAGGCACAGGTCCACATTAATCTATAACTCTACATTTTAAAACAGCTTTGGTTTCTTTGTATCCAACCCTTCAGACTAAATGCAAAGGTAACTTGCTTATATTCTGAAAAAGAAAATGCTAAAAGGTGAAGCTGAGAAAGCTCCCCGTCAGACGTCAGACTGTCTACAGATTACACTGCTTCCTTCCTCCCTCCCTCCCTTTCTTCCTCTCTTCCCTCTCTCTTTCTCCTTTCTTCTCTCTTCCTTCCCTCCTTCCCTCCCTCCTTCTCCTTCCCTTTTTCTCTTGTCTCCTTTCTCCTTTCTCTCCTTCCCTCCTTCCCTCCCTCCTTCCTTCCTTCCCTTTCTCTTGTCTCCTTTCTCCTTTCTCTCTTTCTCTTTCCCTCCCTCCCTCCCTCCTTCCTTCCTTCCTCTCCCTCTCTTCCTCCTTCCTTTTTTCTTTCCTACTTGTTTAAATTATTTTTGGTCCTTTAGAAAAGCCATTGGTAAAAGACATCTAGTTTCCAGAACTGGCTCAGCAGCACATGAGACCCAGTGGGACCTAGTCATGAAGAAGCTGGGCCACTGCACCTTTCCTTTTACCACCCAAAGCTCATGTGGACTTGGGGAGTCAATGTCAGATGCCTGTGGACTTACAGGTCTCTGGAGAGCAGAGCTGTGACCGTGTGCTAGCCGCCGGGAGGGGAGGTTCCAGCCCAGAGGTGGCCACACGAATACCTCCCTTCCCTGCACCTTTTCTCCCCGATGCTCACCTGCTGGCTGAGAACGATGTGGACCTGTGAATTATACTCACCATCCCCCAGATGCCTGGTGTGTGGGGATGCAGGGACACAGCTGGACTCTCCTGCAGCACCAGTGTCAGGTTCACGAGCACATTCTAGAAAGGATGATGCCCGTGTGGGAGGCCTCTGCAGGCAGCAGTGGGTCCAGGCGGGGAGTTGGGCTTTGCCGAGTGGTAAGGGCACAGGTTCCATGTGGCATTCCAGGTCCCGCCTATGACTTGACTTTCTGCGAGGTCCGGGACACGTCGCTGGTGATGCTTTGGAAGGCCCGGGTATACGGGCAGCAGTCCCGTGTCTGGGTACTTGGTGGATTTTAAGGAAGAGGATTCAGGAGAATGGAAGACCGTAAATGAGGCGGCAACCCCAAATCGTTATTTAAAGGTGATGTGTTCATTTTTTCCTTTTCTCTGATAGCGTTTTTGATTCCTGTAGAAAACTGGCTCAGAGTCCCCAGGTGAACTACTCAAACACTCTTGGGACCTTGTACGGGTCCCAGAGACAGCCTTCACCTCAGGGTCCGTCTGCAGAGGCTCCAGCAGAGGACAGTGATGAGCCGGAGGAGGTGACGCCTCCATCATGCACACCTGTGCCAGGAACCTGTGCTGACCTATTTTCTCCCCACACCGTTACAGTGCCACCGCGCTCGTACGTGCCCTGGGCAGGAGTGATTAACGTCACACTCCGTCCTTCCACTTCAAGCTGCACATTGCACTTACCAGGGTCCTGCCATCACCAGCAGAAGTCTATTTGACTTCACGCACGCACGCATGCGCACACAACAAACATTGCTCCATCCTCTCTCTCTCCAAGTTTTTCTATGTACACTTGCGGTTTGCCGTTCACTGGGTCCCTTGTGACAACTGTCCTTGGACCCCATAGTCAAGTGCCTTAACAAGTCTGTTCAGCTGTCCTGATCCAGAGGTCTGCTCCTTTTGGAGTGTGCTGGGGTGCAGCTTAGATGCAGAAGCCAGCACCCTGTTCCTTCAAGAAAGGCCACAGCTGCCCCAGGCAGCGAACAGAGTATTTCCACCATATTCCCCTCCTACACCCTTTCCCTGTTATCCTCCCCCTCCCATTGGTGCCACCCCCCAACAGGATCTGCTTTTCCTTTTGCTCATTTTTTACAAAAAACATGTTTAAGATAGCTATACAGAGAGTTTCCTTATGACATTTTCATGTATATATGTATTATAACCTGAATGGTTCATCCCCTCTATTTTCTCCTTTTCTACCATATTCCCCTTCTTATGGTGCTTTCAAACAGGTTTAAAAATTCTGTATTCATGCCTTGTATAGAGAGTAACACACCCATATTCACCTTCTTAACTTCCTTCTTCACCTTCACACTTCCTTTCATTAGTGACCTCCCTTAGTGTGACCTGTTTTTCATAATATTGCTTGTTTTCATATTGGTCTATTTCCACATATGAGAGAAACATGTAGTTTTTGGCCTTCTGAGCCTGCTAACTTCACTTAAGATGATGTTCTCCAGTTTCCATTCATTTACCTGCAAAATGAAAATTTCATCTCTTTTTGTGACTTTCTAGAATTCCATTATATATAATACAATTTATCAATCCATTCATCAGTAGTGGGGCATCTGGCTATTTCATAGCTTGGTTATGTGAATAGCACTGCAGTAAACATGGGTGTGCAGTCTTTATTTAACCCGACTCACATTCCTTTGGGTTTATCCCTCGTAGTGGGATTGCTGATCAATATAGCAGATCATCTTTAGTTTTTTGAGGGAGCCTCCATAACTGTTTTCCAAAGTGGTTGTACTGATTTACATTCTCACTGCAGTGTAGGAGGAGAGGATCCTTTTTCCCACATCCTCACTGACATTTGTTGCTGTGTTCCTCATGACAGCCATTCTAACAGGGGTGATGTGGAATCTTAATGTGGTTTTGATTTACATTTCCTTTTTGGCCAGGACGGTGAGCATTTCTTCACAAAACAGTTGAACTTGTAAGCATCCAGCCATGATACAGATGATAGCTCCCACACCGATGGGTATATAAGAAGAGACTGGTTTAATTTCTGTGTGCAGAGGGTGATTTTGCAGTTAAAAACCACACTGAAAATAATGCTTAGTCCCGTAGAACTATGTTAAATACGAACGACTAGTTGATAGGACCTAATTCTGCATCAGACTGTGCAGAGAAAGAGGAATAAAACAGGATGCACCCAGTATGTCTACTCCTGTAAGCGAGGTTGTGCATGGGCATGACTCTCCACTGTCTTCTGCTCCTCCAGTTCACCATGTACAGCTTTTCCGCCAGAAAAAGGAGTTCTCTTTAGAGAGAAGATGTGTTCACCATAAAACGTGAACAAAAGCAAAGTGGTCTTCATGTCATCTGCCCTCACTCGTGTTTCCTTTGTGGTTTCAAGGTCTGTGACCTGCTGCAAGGCCACACGTATGTCTTCAGAGTGCGGGCTGTGAATGCTAGCGGGCCAGGGAAGCCGTCAGACACATCGGAACCAGTGCTGGTGGAGGCCCGGCCAGGTGAGCCTGCACCTCTCGCCCCCCAGAATTTCGGAGGTTACAGAACAGCAGTGATGTGGGGGAGTGAGCGAGCACGATGCATATGCGTTGTAAGTGTATGTGTCCTGCAGTTGCGTAGGTGTTATGTATGTAGGTGTTATGTATGTTATGTATGTGTTATGCATGCATGTATGGATGTATGTTTGGATGCATGAATGGTTGGGTGGATGATGCTCTGCTGTGTTTTTAAGCAGATTGGGTTAGTAAGTGAAGGAAGGTTGCGCTCGGGATCTGCGTATGTTCTAAATCCTTGGGCAGGAGGAGAGCTTGTTTGATTGGCTGCACTGTGGGTAGAGGTTGTTCTAGGAGAGGACAAATAATTCACAGGAAGGAAGGTATTGTTTGAATCACTGCTTGAATTTTTATCAGAAAGTTATGAAGCCACTGGTGATTTCCTTGGTAGCAATGAACTAAAAACCCTTTGAGGTGACCTTGCACAGGGATTACCGGGGGACCAAGACCAGCTCTCAGGATACTCTGGGGGAGGGGGTTCACCTGGGAGGTGGGAGGTGATGGGGCTTACAAGCTGAGACCTCAGGGTCTGCCTCCCCCAGTCTCACCCTCCTCTATGGCCATTTGTTTTGATTATTGTGCTGTTCTGCTTCTCTATCTTTTTGGTAACCTTCTATCTTACCTGGCATCAGTTCCACTTGCCAGCTGGCAGAGCTGAGCTGTGTCTCCCCCTGTCCCTAATTTCTAGGAGGTGATTGTGACTGGCAGGCTTTGGTCCAGGTGTCACCTTGGTCAGAATGTAGCAAATAAAGATCAAACATTCTCTCTGCCTGGGGAGAAACAAAACAGCCATGGTGGAGAATGAAGTGCCTGTGGGGGTGAAATGCGGTGGTCTGAACATGGCTGTGTGTGTATAGGGGGTGCAAAAGAGACCTCAGAGAGAGATGGTGTTAGTCCCGCAAGCAGCCCCAGGGCTTTCTAGAGTGTGAAGGGCACAGGAGAGGAAGTGGACAGAGTGTGATGACTTAACAGCATGGCTGGCCAGACCCTGGCACATCCACCAGTTGTCTCAAGTGTGTGCTCTTTCGTGGCTATCTCAGTCAGTCCTGGGTAGACACTAAAGAAGGCCTGATGATTCAGCGTAAAATAAGCTCTCTGCATGTGCCACCTTCTCTCCAGAAAAAGAACCCTAAGAACACCACGTTCCTGAGGCTCCTGGCCTTCTCTCTCTGCAGGCACGAAGGACATCAGTGCCGGTGTGGATGAGAAGGGCAACATCTACCTGGGCTTTGACTGCCAGGAGATGACCGATGCCTCCCAGTTCACGTGGTGCAAGTCCTACGAGGATATCGCTGATGAGGACCGGTTCAGGGTCCACACCGAGGGCGATCAGTAAGTCACACTGTGAAATCGGGTGCTGGGAGTGTCTGGAGACAGACAGACTCACAGGCACTTCTCTTCTTTGTTTTCAGTTCGAAGCTGTACTTTAAGAATCCAGAAAAAGTGGACATAGGGACCTATTCTGTGTCCGTGAGTGACACTGATGGCGTATCCTCCAGTTTTGTTCTGGATGAAGCAGGTATAATCTTCATGACACAGAGCTGATTTGCTGGTTTTATTGCACTTCTGAAGACACACTTAACTACAAAAAGGGTGCATGTTTGGGGAATTTTATGTAAGCCAAAGTTACTTTGGAAATGAAGCAAATCCAAGTGTTTCTGCACCACGCAGTCACTACTTCAGGACATGCTGTGTGCAGCTCCAGTGTGTACATCAGAACCCAAGCTCTAGGGTCAGTCACACGAGCAGTTCCAGAGCTTGGTGTTCAGAAAGTTGTGTATCAGTAAACAAGCCCTTGGAACTAGTGAGACACACCCCACGGAGGACTCCTCCCTTCTTTGAAGAAACCTCTTAATGGGTGTGGATAATTTTCACCTGTCATGGCCACGCTCTCTTGTTTCTTTACCAGTGGAGGACAGCAGAGGGAGGTGTGGCTAGGGGGATGCAGCAGTTATCTTAGGTGGTGCACAGATCTGACTCAGGCTAAAGGAGCGGTGCTGCTCCTGTAACTGCATGACCTCATGGGCTCCTGTCCAGCCTGCACCCCTTCCCCAGTCAGTCCTGCACTTCGAAGGGAAGAGGGGGTGATTTCAGATCTCTGCCGGTCTCTGAGTCCTCTGTTAAGATGTAGGGTGCCAGCTGCCCCAAGTCCTTGAGTTGTCAGGTCTGGTGGACAACAGGCTCAGGTGTGGCCAGGATACCTGGCCCAGGATGGGGGCTGAGGGTGGTGTCTCATTCATTTGTGCCACTGTCAGAGAATAGCACAGGCTGGGTGACTCATAATGAAGAGATCTGTTTGGCTCGTGGTTCTGGAGGCTGGGGAGTGCACAATCCAGGGGTTGCATCTGCTGTGTTGTTCCTTGGTGGATGGAATCACATGGGGATGGGGGTAGGGGAGAGAGTGAGAGCACTGAATTCATCTTTTATAAGGACTCCACTTGTCCTGTAACAAACACACTCCTGTGAGAGCAGCATTAATCCAGCTGCACCAGCAACGCTGCTGCATGGGGAATTAAGAGCTTAGCCTATGAACTTTTGGGTGCACACTCAAACCACAGCAGAGGAATTGGGAGGAGAGGAGCACCTGAGACACAGATCCTCACGAGGCTCAGTGTTGATTAAATCTGGGTAAACTCACGTGAACTGAATAGGATGCAGTAAAGGGGCTCCATTGTCCCTCCCTTCTGGGGTCCTCAGTGCACTGCCACAGACAAGCAGGGGCTTCCTAATCTGCCTCTGGTGACCCTGGCTCAGGGGTCTTCCAGCAATTTTGTATGCACATAGCATCCTTGACAAATTCTGAAGAGTGATGCATTCCTCTGCCTTCTTAAGTTTACATACGCGCCTTTTCATTTAAATACGTGCCTTTTATTTCAGTGTTAAATAGTTGCAAAGGATGAAATTTCCACCATGGTTTTTGATATAAGTAGATTTCAGTCTATTTGAAGCCAAGCCTTGGAGCTGAACATGTAAGTGCATTTGATTTACCGACATTTCCATCAGGAGATCTAACAGGGACAACTAACTGGTGCTCACTGTGACGCCAATCACCAGAAAAGTCTGACTTCGCTTTTCACTTCAAATAAATGTTCATACACGTGACCATGACCCCATTTCTGAATCCTAATTTTAGGAAGAAAGAAAGAGAAGGAGGGAAGGAAGGAAGGAAAGAAGAAAGAAAGGAAGGAAAGGAGGGAAGGAAGGAAGGAGGGAGGGAAGGGGAAGGGATGGAGAAGTGGCTTAGAGCTTTAATTTTTGTTAGTTTGCTCAAACCTTCTCATAAGTGGTGCACCCTGTTTTTCCTTTCCACTCATGGTAATGTGCCATGGTGAGGTTCTGGATGGGTGAGAGGGATGTGCACTTCACATTAATAAAATTAGAGAAGGAAATTTTGGAAGAAGAAGGAAATCACTGACCATACACATTCCAGCCAGCAGGACAGCCTTAGGGAAGAGGGCCCATGGAGTTAGAGTCTGAGTGGTCACCCTGGTCATGTTCCCTTGTCCTCTGTCTGTGGACTCTTCTAGATTCCAGGAACGTGCCTCCCAGCCCCAGCCTCCTGAGCTCAGCCTGCCTTGCCCTCAGCTATCCCTTAGCAAGTGGGTTCTGTAGATACAGAAGACCCCAGTTCCAGTCTCCTGTGAATGTGTTGAAGGGTCACACCCTCTGCTAGCTCCCTTCTCACTTTTAGTTCAAATTTCCTTCATGTCCTCAAAACAAATGCTGGTGGTGCAACCTCTCTGCTCCTGTTTTGCCTTGCTGTTGTTTGCAAACTTCTGAATGCACAGGTCAAAACCCACGAAAATGTTTTTTTTAATTCTAGAGCTTGAGCGGTTGATGATCCTGAGCAACGAGATCAAGAACCCAAGTAAGTCTGCCTCCTGCCTCACTCGTGCGCACAGCTGCAAACCCTGGGGCTCCAGCATCAGGAGCTCCACGAGGAGCTGGCTTTGGGGGGACGGCCTTTCTTAGGCCTCTGACTACCCATTTAGAACAAGTGCTAGCTTATACTGTGAAAACCTGCCTAACCAATCCCAATCCAAGTGAGATGGCCATCAAACACGTTCCTTGGATGCTGAATTGTGCCGAACACGTGCATCTTCAGCCGCCGATAACATCCAGAAAGCTCACAGGGAGCCCGTGGATGTGATGAGGCTTCAGCACAATGGCAGGCTAACTGGAGCCTTACTGTTAAGCTCTGGTTCCCGTAACACCCCAGTGTAATGCCCCAGGGTTTCACATTCTCAAAACGTTTTTTTTCCCATCACAGGCAGTACTTCTTCCTCACAAGTGTCTGTACGTTATTGACTGGTGATTTCTTTTCTTCCTGTAGCAATTCCTCTGAAGTCAGAGTTAGCTTATGAGATTTTTGATAAGGGCCAGGTTCGCTTCTGGCTCCAGGCTGAGCACCTGTCACCCGACGCCAAGTTCCGATTCATTATCAATGACAGGGAAGTCTCTGACAGTGAGGTGAGTTCCTGGGAGCAAGCCGGAGTTTGTCGAGCAGGCCAGGTGCTTATTGTCACCTCTCCGTGTTTGTTCCCATCCCTGTGGAAAGTGGGGTGCAGAAGGTTGGTGGCCGGGGTGAGTTCCTGCAGCGTTCAGGGGTTCCCTCTGGGTTAACCAAGACTTTGCCAGTCTTTGAAATCATTGTTGGAATTAAAAATGACAAACCATGTCTAGAGACTTGAAGGTTGGCTTTAGGGAAAGGTTGGGGTCACATGGGGAAATGACCTTGATGAACCAGTTTATTTAGACTTGATAATGCTTCTGAAGACTTGCAGTTTTTGCCCTATTGCGAGAAATGGTTCTCTGCATGCTAGCCCTGCAGATTTCCCACTGAGGACACCAGGCGGACACTTGGACCGTTTAGCTCCCTTCTGGGGTGGATCTGATCCAGACAAAGGAAGAAACAGAACTGTCAAAAACACATACAATGCTACAATACAAGCACTTTTGCTTTTGTTCTGCTGTTGATGTTTTTTTGAGATAGGGTCATAGGGTCTTCTGTGGAGCCCAGACTGGTCTCAAACTCATGATCATTCTGCCTTGGCTAAGGCACAATGCTGGCATTGCAAGTAGGCATTGCCACATCCACATCTATTCTTAATTGTATAATATGAATCTTTAAATTAGTGCAGTCTTCTATTTTTGGCTGTGGGATATTTGAGAAGGCATCGCCAATGTTTAGATATATGTCTACTTAATTATACATGCTGGGGGACCCAGTCACAGCATGAGCTGTGTGATGGTCTGTGTGGCTCAGGAGTAGGGTTGGGCTCTTTCAAACTCTGCCATCTTTTCCTCTTCTGCCCTTTTTTACCTGGCTGGCCATTGTGGTGGTGTTGGCATGCTTACATGGCCTAGTCCTGAAGGTCTTATTTGGTTGTTCACGCCACAAACAAAGCTCAAGTTGAGAACTCGCCACGCCCTGTGGGCAGCACACACACCCTTTCTCTGTGCTGGACTCCTTGTCCTCGGGCCAGCCTTCCTGCCTAAGAGCATTTAGCGAAGCTCTGTGAGTCGGACACTGTCTATGAGTCAGATGTCTTGTATGGACAAGAATCACATGGTTTCCATTCCATGAGAACCATGACAGATAAGACAAACAGACGGGACAGTGGCTGGAGAAGGGTGAGTGTAAGTGCATCATTTCTTTGGGCCTTGGAAAAGCTGAGGGCTGCATCCTGTGTTTGGGGCAGCTCTGCCTGTGGAGGTAATTGGGGCAGTCTCTGTGCAGAGCTCATGCTATGAAATGAAATGGAATTCAGAGTAATTGCACCTCATTTCAGAGCATCTTGTGATTAGCTTTCTTACTGCTGTGGAGAGCTTGCTTTAAAAACGGATGTCTTTGCATCCTCACGACTCTTTTGGAATATGGCTGTTCTATTTCACTTCTTTAATTAGCTATCCACAGGTGACTTTTACATTTGAAGATTGATGCTACTTTGTGAACGTCACATAAAAGCCTGTATTTATGCCCCTTGTAAAACCATTTAACTTCATCTTGCTGCATAATGGCTTATCAAGAAGCCTAATTATTTCCTAAAACCTTCTCAGACACTGTGGTGCAGTAGCTGAGAAAATTGAAAAGCATGCTGCATTGGGAGGCACCTGGCTGGGGAGAATTGTGTCTTTGTATCGCTCAGAGCTAATTAGAGCAAGTTCCCATGGTTCTCTACTTAAGGTTTCTGAAGAGAGCATGGTGTCAGATTAATAAGGACAGGACATTTGTCCAGGCAACTTGAAATTTGCTCTTGATATCAAGTCATTATGGTGATTCCAGGACCAGGGTAGAGCTTGCTCCTGGATTCTTGTCCACCTGCTCTGTGTTTGGTGCCTTCAGGAACTGCCTGAGCCTCCAAGGACAGGGACCCAGCGTCACCTTGTCTTCATGTCATCAATACCATTCCTTAAGGTTCTCTCTCTCTCTCTCTCTCAAAAATTGGCTAAGGTCCTGCTCTTGCCTTCATTTCTGCTCTTCTCTATCACATCAGACATACCAATTTCCTCTTCCTGTTCCCATTAAAAAATCTCAGTGATCATGTTTGCTTGGTATATTGAAGTAACATTGGATTTCTAACCGCAAAGTTCACTTTATTGTGTTTACTGGAGATAAAGCCTGAGGAGGGTGGAGCAGGCTTTATTCACTTACAAACGGGAAGTCATGTTTCATATTTTCTGAAACTGAAGCTCACTGTTAACCAATAGGAACTTGGTTATCCATCTTCCCTCCCAGTGGACAGCAGCAGATATGGTTTGCTGCCATGGTCACACAGCAGTGGGACACAAAGGCCAGACATAAGCCTTGTCCCCAGGCAGGCCATCAGAGAGTTGGACAAATACAACTTCAATTAGAGAATGAAAGGAAAAATATGGAAGGAGGGATATGAAGACAGTCAGGAAATCCTCAGGAAAACCAGGGATTTGGAGAGACTGAAGTAGTTGGGACAGATTGCAGAGTAGAGGATAGAAGAAGAACTCAGAGGCAAGGGGACCCAGGCTGCCTCTGTGTCCTGAGAGCTGGGGACGTAAGTGAGGTAGAGGAGCCAGGTGTGATCTTGGGACATGCCGGGGTCAGTCAACAGAGCCTCGAGTGTCCAGGAGAACTTAGAAAAAGAAACAAACAGAGAGAGAAGCTCCGAGTGAAGTTTGAGTCTCTCTTGTGATATTGGCAACCTCAACGAGAAAGAAGAACATTGTGAAAATAAGTACATGTGATTCTTCAGAAAATGATTGCTGGTTTTCTGGCTACAGATAGAAGTTCTCTTTGGGATTGTCCTTAAGGTAGGGGTTATGAAGTGTGGTGTCAACAGGGTGGGTCCCCCATGTCACCATGGGTTATTAGTTTTTATTCTGCTCATCTTGCTCCAAAGGCCTCATACACTCACATGTCAGATCATGATTCAGATCAGGAAGTCTTCTGATCAGGAGGCGTCCACAGCAAAGGCTGCTGTCCTGTTGTTATTCTGGGGGTGTGTGGGTGGTCAGGGCCAGCAGAGTCAGTCCTGTGATTTTATAGGAAGTGTCCTGAGTTGGTACCCTTCTTGTCACCCCTCCCTGTCACTGCTGCGGTTAGGATGAGGCACTCATTTGGATGTGGCCCTTCTGCCTTCAGAGCTCCTGCTTAATTTTAACGCATTACCCAAGGGTGGAATGAAATACAATCCGTTAGCCCCATGGAAATTTCCTGTGCCTGTTAGTTCGTAAGGAGAGGCAGTGTCTGGGCAAGCTGAGCTTGGATGGGTGGTAGCATTGAAGGTGCCACTTCAGGTGCCTGCTTACCTGTGTAGTGGGGGTGTGAGGGATGGAGTCAAAGGAAAGTGGAGAGAGAAGGCACAAGGGATGGAGGAAGGACCCTTAAGACAGTCACAGTTGACACTTGATTTTCAAAGGAAGGTCTTAGCCTGACCAGGGGCTTCCCAGGTCTTGGAGCTGAAAGGATATTCTGGTCTCTCCACCTGCCTCCGCTGGACCTCACCCAGAATGGCGCCTCTCACATGGGTCCTCAACCGCTGTGTGGTGTGACTTCACATCCATTTATCTCCACACGAGACTGTGTCCCTGAGGCCAGAGGTCACACTACCTCATCTCTATGTCCTTGGGCCGTGCACACAGAGGAGCAGTTTCACACTCCATGAGCAAGGGTGGGGGCTGCGTGAGGAGTAAGGATGTCCCCAAAAGCTCTGCTCAGTGTCACTCCAGTATTGGGGGACTACAGACCATGCAATGCCACAGGCAGCAAGCAGGCTAATATGCATGGGCTCTCTCTAGTAATGCGACAGACATTTATTTGGTTATTTGGTATTTATCGTTGGCTAGGCGCTACCTAGCACTGTGTGAGGTGACAGAGATAAGGAAGACTTACCCCTCCTTCTCAAGGACTTACCGCTAGCAGGATAGACAGGTGTCGAGGAGACAGTTGGACGGGGTTGCTTCTGTGGGTCCATGCTGACTGTGGAGACCGAGCCCATGGCAGGGCACCCAGCCTTGCCCCAAGGGCACAGGGCAAGTCTCCCCTGGAGCTAGTCACAAGGAAATGGGGCTCAGGCTCAGAAATCAGGGCAGTGGCTGCGGGAAGCATGAAGTGCTGGAGCTGTGACAGCAGGAAGTGTTTCCGTGCTCTTCCAAAAAGAGCAGACGTCTGTAGATGACACCCTCCCGTGTTATGTCTGCAGCCTGTGGCACCTCGAAAGTCACAGAGAGATAAGGCGGGGCACTTGCTGGAGGTCACATTCTCTTTCTTCACCTCAGGCTGCTTCCGGCTGTGGCAGCCATGGGAATACTGTAGCTGTGCGTCCTGGGGAGCTGAGGACGACGCTGCTGTGGGGAACCCTTGCGTGTCACCCTCTGTGCGGGGCTCCGTTACCAGCTCTCATCTTCTCCCATGGAGTTTGAGTGTCTTACACTGATGCTCCTTCCTGGGAAGACGTGTGGGGCGTTTTGTGCTGCCAGGGGGCCCTCACCCCAAGCCTGGCTTGGTCACAGAACTGAAGCTTGAAAGTTTGCATTTGATGGTTGGTTTATGATAAAAGTTCATTCTGTTTCCTGTGTTGCAATTCCTTAAGCTATAATATCCGGTGCAGCTATTACCTATAGAGAAGGGATGTCACTATATAATTGTCCCTGTTGCTTGATTGCTTCCAGATACACAGGATTAAATGTGACAAGTCAACTGGCCTTATTGAGATGGTAATGGATCGGTTTACTATTGAAAACGAAGGTACCTACACCGTGCAGATTCAAGATGGAAAAGCCAAAAGTCAATCTTCCCTGGTCCTTATCGGCGATGGTATGCTACCTTGCACATTTTACATGTCCACCAGAGAGACTTCTAAGACAGTTTTTTGGGCTGGAGAGAAGCAGACCTATTTCATCTCTCTTTTTCTTCAATATTGAATTTAGCGTTCAGGGCCGTCCTCGAAGAAGCTGAGTTTCAAAGGAAAGAGTATCTCAGGAAGCAAGGTAAGCAGTCCACTGTCTCCCCCCCACTCACACAGAACAGACTGACCTTTGAATATTCATTCGGGGCGGACCCTGCACCATGCCAGCGACTCTGAGGGCATTTGAGATGATCAAGAGTTAGGCCAGTTTGTACTGTGGCAATTTGGATGCCCTGCTCTCCTTTCTCCTTTTTGTGTCTTTCCACAATGTATTTTCTTGCTTCTAATTTAAAAGCCCCCTTCCCACAGTTTTATGTTCATATTTCCTGCCCTTATCCCCGTGAAGGAAGTGACGTCTGACCAGGCTGTGGGCCGATTGCCACTAACTAGTCTCTCCTGTACCCCGCAGCGGGGAAAGTTCTTCCGCAGCACTCATTTATTTCAGGTGCTCTTTTGCGTAGTACACGTTAATAACTCCACTGGGGCACGCTCACCTGTACCCCGCTTCGCCAGATCTTACCTCCCACCTCACCAACTCCACTCTCTGTGTGAATGTGGTTTTCCCAGTGTCCACTCTGTTCCTTCTCTGGTCTTCCCCCAGGGCCTTTCAAAGGGGACACCATTTAAATTGCATGCTCCACCTGAGCCAATCCTGTAGATTGTACTTCTATGAAAGAAATCACTGCATACTTTTTTTTGTGGCACCAGATTTGAACTCAGGGCCTCGCGCTTGCAAGGCAGGCATTTTACTACTTGAAGTAGTAAAGCCAGCTCACTATATACTTTCTAAACCTGCTTTGTATTTTGTGTTGAATGAGACAATGGCATAATTAGCATATGGCTTACTTCTACATTTATTGTAAGTAGAAATGATTGATATTTTTGAAAAACATAGGTAAACCCATCTTTGATTTCAGAGTTGCTAGGTCAAGCTGCTCTTTTTTCGTCTTGTCTCTGTTCTCTTGCTTTATAGACTTTATCTAGTGTGCTATTGAATATTCAGTTAGAGACATGCCTTGAGAAAGAGAATTTAATGATTTCAACATTCTTCCCCTAACGAGGGGTAGATGGCACAGCCCGCAGGAGGCAGGGATCAGAATGTGCCCAGTAGGGAGCAGGTTCCAATGGAGAGCAGTGTTGACAGGCGCTGACTTCATGACCATGAAAAGTATCAAACTATACAGTGAATAAGTGTGTGTACACACATACATATACACACATGTACATGCCTACACACATGCACACAGATACACAACGCCATACATATGTGTTTGCATTTTAAAAATATCTTTTGGAGTGAAAGTGATTGTGAAGTTTGTTATGAAAGGATACATTTTCAGTAAGATTGAAAGCAGATCATCTCTAGAGCGAGAATAAGAATGACCTGTGTGCCTGCTTGGTATCTTTGTGACGTATATTTATTTACTTATTTATGTAATTTCTTTCCTTTTCTCAAATTTCACCCCCCTTGCTCTCTAGGTCCTCATTTTGCTGAGTATTTGCACTGGGACATTACAGAAGCCTGTGAGGTCCGGCTTGTCTGTAAGGTGAGAGAGAGGGAGGTTGAGAGAGAGAGGTCAGGCTCTCATTCTTATTCCCAGTGGAGAGGCCGTTCAGGGACTGGCTGTGCTCAGATCCCATCGGCACGGTCAGTTTCCTGAGCCATAGTTGGTTAGGTATGGACAGACCTAGTTGCTTTTGGGTCCAGTGGACTTTTCAGCTTTTAGAAACTTGTCTCTTCTTCATGAGATTGCAGTGTTGTGACATGCAAAGGAGGTTCAAGGAGGTATATATTTAATTTAATTTTATCCCATTAATTTTTCATTAGGATATATTTGCTGTACAGGGGGAATTCATTGTGATAAGTCCATAACAGGCTTATATTGTATATTGGTTAGATCACCCCCACCAGCCTCCCCCTTGACCCCCTCCCCACCCCACTTAAAACTGTTATAAGAGGTTTCTTTGTTCTATTTCATATAAGTATATGATGTCCATCAACCAAATACCCTCACCCTAATATTCCTTCCTTCACCTGCCTCCATCCCACAAGTACCCCCCACACTGAACCTATTTTACAGTCCTGTCTTAAATTATTTCTATCTCAGTCGATGTTCACAGGGGTTTTTCAATGTGTCCCTGCTGTGAGTCTCCTTTACTTTGGTTGGTTCAACCCCTTCCCTTGCTCTCCCTTACCATTTACCTCCCACCCCCACTTGAAAACATATCCTTTTATCTTGGCAGAGTATTTCATACAAATATTTACTGAACATTTTAGCAGGTGAATTTGTGAGAAAGCATGACGTCATCATGTGTGACTTCATCAGGAAATAGAAGACGTGTTTTGGGAATGAGACACGCGTTAAGTTTTGTGTTAATAATTCAGTAACATGTTGAGCTTTAGTTGTTGCTGAGCTGTAGTCTCAGATTCTGCTGCATTAGGGGCTGGGGAGGATAGGATAAACAGTGCGTTGTTTTGTCCTCAGAGATGGCAATTTCAACAAGGTGAGGACTCCAGAGTGGGGCAAGGGGACTGAGAGCGCCAGTTGTATAGGGGCAGGAAGACCCAGAGCAGGAGCGGAACCATACGCTTAAATGTGACAGAAGGGCAAATCTTATGTTGTGTACATTTTACACAAAGCAAATGTGAGGCTGGCAGGACAGGTGGGGGCCAGGCCCCGAGGGCAGAGCTGGAGGGTTAGGGTTAGGGTTGATTAGGAGGGTGGAGTGCGGGGTTTGAGCTAGGTGAATGCTTAACAGATACTCCTCGTGTAATTCATGGGGTTAAATTAATTTCCTCACTGTTTTCCTAGCCATCCTTAGTGCTGACAGTTAATCTTCAATTTCCTATTTATTACTCTTTTTTTAGTGAAAACGGGAGCTAAAGGTTTTATATTTAATGCCCTCCAAGTTGTCATAAATTATAGAAAAATGCTTAAACTTTTTGATAGGGAGTTTCTGCATTAGCATGTTTAAAGGAAGACCCAGAGAGAAAGATTTGAAGAAGAAAAGAGGGAGACTTGAACAGGTCTTGCTCAGCAAATGAAAAGTGTAACAGATGGTTAAGGGGAAGAGGGCCCTGCACCCCTGGAGAGAGAGAGGCCTGTGTCCTTCCCCTGGTTGTGCTGGAAAAACAGCGATTTTCTCAAGTGATTGCCATACGTGGAATTTCTAGACAACACTACACAGATCAGTTCGTTAGATGGTCAGCCACTTAGAACCCAGCACGAGCAGGGACTGTTGCTCTGGTTTTGTTTTTTTCTGACCACAGCTCCGGGGCACACAGGCATTCACGTACCCCAGGGCAGGCACAGAGAATGTGGGGGCCACGATGGCATCTCAATGGTGTATCACCATCTATAAATATTTAAAGGCACCTCGAGCTCCCTGACTAATGGGATTCCTAAATCTTTAAGCACAGAATTTAGGGAAACTGAATAAATAGGACTTGCAACGTGAGTAGTTGCAATTTGACTCACGTGTTTTCCGTGCGCGTCCTCGTCCACCCTGCAGTTCTGGAATCCGTGTTCCAACATGGCTTTGTGGTCAACGATGCTGTGGCAGATGGGTGTCAGACTTTGTTTTCATGACACATACGTGGAGAGTAATGTATGTGAGGCACAGGCAATGTTAAAACTTTACATAAGGTCACTCAAAAAGGAAATGTTTAAAAAAACCTATTGTAAATGTCTTACCCAGCATGGAGGATGGTTGAGGCGCTCTCCCTACGTGGTGGGACAGGTGTGGCTTGTGACATGGGAGCAGTGACCTTGTTACTCTCTCTCTGATGGTCCTGTGCACTTCCAGCTTCTATATGTTAGAGAGAAGTCACAGGAGGTTCAGAGAAGGGGCAAAGAAGTTATGTAGGGAGATGAGACCCCTCCAGGGGACAAGTAGACTAAGGATTTGCTTCACAGACAGAGGTCGAAGGTCTTGGAAGGCCCCGTTAGCACACAAGGCCAACAGTGTAGAAATCTCTGATGAATGCTGAGGGGAAAACTGAACTCGGACTGGTAGCTGTTGTGGCTGAACTGCAAATGGAAATGGGGATGACACAATGCTGGCACAAAGGAACAACTGTGAGACTCCTGTCCTCTCCCAGAGGTGTGGTCACTCTTGCTGGTTGAGAAGCCTTACTCCCAGGCCAGCATGTGCATCTCCTCCACCTGTTCCTCAGTCATTATGGGATGACTTCTCTGTTCCAGGCAGGCTCCCCACTGGGGGACAAGGGTGACTAAGGCATAATCCCCGCTTTACGGGATTATATCCACGGCCACCGATTACACCGCTGTAGTGTACAAATTAAACACATAGCCCTCCTCTATCAGAGTCAGTCACACCATGAAACCACTTGTCATTTCTACCTTGACATCACTTCATGGGGTGCAGCAGGACCGTCAGCCTCCTGGAGTCCAGTATGAGCCTTACGCCCCACCACACAGAAGCAAATGCTTTCTCCTCCACAAGACATGCTGGGTGGAGCATGAGAGTCACAATGCTTAATTACCTGAAGCTCTGCAAAATTTAGCTTCTGGTGAAGCTGAAGCCAGAGACGGAGTTGTGTGGGACTCTGCAAAGGAATGTCCTCTCTGTGTTTCATTATCCCTGGACGGTCTGTCACTTTGCCAAAGAATAGTCACTAGGCACTTTTATAGACTTTTAAGAAGTTTATATTATTTATAAATCAAAGTGTATTGATTACAACTTGTCCTTATTAGTGGCATTTCATCGTAACCAAAAGATTCTTACACCATCTAATTTCATGGCCAGAAAGATGAGGGTCATCTGTCCTCCTTGTGATTTGTCACTTTTAGAAGTGACAGCTTTTCCACGAACCTCCGCCTGTGACCATCTGGAATGAAAATTGGTGTATTTTTTAGGGCGTGGTTTATACCCTAAATGTTTTTAGGGCTGTGGTTTGTACCTTTGTGAACCAGAGTGTTCCATATAACCTGCTTAGGATTTCTGTTTTGTAGGTTGCAAATACCAAGAAAGAAACGGTTTTCAAATGGCTCAAGGATGATGTGCTGTATGAAACTGAGACCCCACCAAACCTGGAGAAGGGGGTCTGTCAACTGCTCATACCAAAGGTATGGTGTACCAAGTATAAGATGAAAGACACAAGGAAGATAGCCCTACCAAATAATTTGCTGATTCTGCATTGTCTTCCACTTTGTACCCAAATTCCCATGGTTTGTAAGGAAAATGTGTTAGTACTTACGGCATTTTGTTTCACAGTACTGATTTTACATAAATATGGGATGTGTTTTACTTGTAGTTGTCCAAGAAAGACCATGGTGAATACAAGGCAACCTTGAAAGATGACAGAGGTCAAGATGTATCTGTCCTTGAAATAGCTGGCAAAGGTAAAGGCAATCTTCTTTATCCCACTGGATGGAAATCCGTTTTGCCCACGGGATGAGAGACGGGAGAAAACACACTGCACTTGGGTTGCCGTAAGAAGCTGTCTCAATGTTAGAATAATGCATGATACTATCTTGGCTTACGTGAGACATCATTTCAATCCCTCATCAGAAGCCAAGCTTTGTCCTGTGACTAATGCAATTAAAATGACAGAAGCCTGGATGAAGTGATTCACTTCAGTGCACAGGTAGATGTCTGCTGAGTAAACCTTTGTCCACATTTAACAAGTGAATGGCGGCAAGGATTTGTTGCACACATAACCTTTTATGGACAGATACCACCATTTTAATGACTCATTTTTCAAATGAGTGTCACAATTTTCTATGTTAACTTAATTAAGCACTGAAAATGCTGCTTCCTGTTAAAGTTATACCTCATGATAGAACTTTTTCCTTCCCTTCTAGTGCACGAGGATATGGTCTTGGCAATGAGTCGAGTCTGTGGTGAGTAAATGCCCTCTGGTTATCGAATCGTTTGGTGATTAAAATCTCCATTTCATGGGGAAGGCATTCACCCCTCAAAGGAGAGCCAAAGGCTGCAGTGCACGGCCTGTGCCAGGTTCTGGGCTGGATGGTGTCCAAGGACCTTGGGCTGACGGCTGCAGGAGGACAGTCACCCACAGCCTCTGCGATGCTTTCTTCAGAGCTTGGCATGTCACAGCCACAGCCCGTCTTTTTCTTTAAAACTCAGTCTGCCCTTGCCCTGCAGTCACTGCTTCAATCTTGAATTGAATCTTGAACCAATCTTGAATCTTTGGTTCATTGGGGTGGTGTCCAAAATTGCATTTGGTGTCTTTATTTCAAATGTTGAAAGCAATAATGAATTTTTAAAACTCTGACTTTGTGTCATAATCATTAAACTATTTTTACCTTTGCAACTACATTCTCTCTCCATTTGACCTTCCATGGAAACGATAAGAGCAAAGATCTTGATTATAACTCAATAATAATAGCTCATCTCTGTAAAGTGGGATCTGCTAACAGGTACATACTTCTATTGGAAAATTCATGCTTTCTGATGAAGCAACCAAGGCCGAGGCAGGCAGTGGTCACTTGTGGGTGCTGAGCCAGCAGCACCAGGACCCCCAAAGCCTCTCTGGCATTCTTGAGAAAATCAGGGTCTGCTTACTTTTCATTGCTTTCTCAAAACAGCTCTGCGAGGTGGACAGTCCACTTTTGTTCAGTCAAACCCATTTTGAATGGGTTTTATTATGACTGGCTATCAGTGGGTCATGTACTATTGTGGGTGTGCGCACCACTCTGGGAAGGTAAGTCATGCCCTTTGCAGAGCAGCTTTGCTCTTGCACGCTGTGGAGTTACTCTGTGTGACATAGTTCACAGTAGGCAGCACCATGTCTTGACAGCAAGTCCAGGGCACTGAAAGGTACCAGACAGTGAAGATGGTGGGGTTTTCATGCTCCCTATCAATCAAGTCAGGCGTCACTGGACGGATGGCATTATATAGGGAGTTAGATAGGGTGGAGAGCTCAGGCACAGAAGTCCCCCCATCACTAGACACCTTGACTTTCCTAGAGCTCATGTGCTCTGCTGGAGTCATTGTGTGACATTTCAGAGGAAAAGGAGCCTGGCTCTTACCCTCCTGGCCCCAGCCCTCCCTGATGCTGTTGGGTGTCCCCTCAGTGACCCATTTGCAGGGTGCAGTGGAGTCTTTGGGACCCAGGAACAAGCCTCCTGTGGGTGGGGGGGCCCTACTACACATAAGGCTAACCCCCAGGCGCCTGCTCCATTCAAGCTGGAAGTCATTTGTTCTGTGAAATCCTGTGTGGTTGTCACCACCTGTGTGCTAGAGGAATAGCCATGGTTGCTGTTTCATTCTCCTCTGAGACACACACATACACACACACACACTCTTGCATGCACAACTCATATGTACAAATGCACACACAACTCGTGTTCACAAATGACTCACACATTCAACACACAACTCATACCCCAAACAATTCATGCACACTCACTCTCACACACAGATCACATGCATAGGTGCACATGCACACACACTCACACCCCTACCACTCGTGCATACTCGCTCTCTTGCACACACAGACACTCAACCTGTCTATTTGCTTGGCTGAGCCTCTTTCCCATGGAGGCACTGCCCACAGTTCACAAAGCCTTGCCGATTTACAGCTGTCCTGGGAACATTCCAGGTGTCATCCTTGTTGTTTTCTCCACAAACCTCTTTTGGTTGCTTACAGCGTCATGGCCCCTGTTCATAAGCCTTAAGTCTGGCAGCTGGCTCTGTGTAGGCTTTTGATGGGCTCCTGTCACCTCTCACAGTGGCTCTACAGGCTTTCAGGATCCTCACTTTGGTCTAGCTTGTGATGGACATGGATGCGGTTGAGCTTGCCTCATTTCTTGAGACATTGGAAGGCAAGGCGCACCCAGTCCTGGTGTGTGGTGCACTGACAGCTGAGTGACTGTTGGTTGGGAAGGCTATGTCACACACCAGGCTGCCGGAGTGGGTATCTGCCTTGCTGAGAGGTTCCCAGCTACACCCCAGGGAGGCATCCAGGGTCACACACTGAGGTCCATGCAGCAGCCAGGGCATGGCAGGTTGATGTAGCGAGTGTCACCGTAGAGGTCAGTGCAGAAAAGAGCTGTCACACAGCTCTCTTGTGTTTTTTGAAGCACAAGCATTTGCTCATTTTCTGTTTTGGCTTTAAAACCTAATTTCCCTTCTCTGACTACTGGGAATGGGGAAGTGTGTCCTCTTGTTTCTAAGACCAACAGCCTGTGCATTTTTCACCTTTGGGAACAATCAGTTCCTCTTTTGGACCCCCAGTGTTTTGTCTGAATATCAGGACCAGCTGGGATCTCGGGTAAAAATGGGAGCCTCACTTTAGCTTTTCAGGCTCCACCCTCTGGACACTGCATCCCACCCAGAGCATCCCCAGTGGCTGTGGTGCGATGACAGAGCAGATGGTGCTTCACAGGCCTGGGGCCACGGGACAAAGTGGCTTACTCTTCGTGGTCCAAAGGTCAAAGGACAAGCTTAGCTCTCAGGCAAGTTCGTTGCTCATAACTACGGACGCAGGTGTAGTTGGAGTTGCTCTGCCTCCGTCCACATAGGGAGGGACTTGGGCTGGACGAGAGCCAAGTTCACACACAGACCTGAAGTTCTGTAATGCTATGGGTGCCAGCTATTAAATACACAACTAAGCTGGGCACACCTGCACCAGGCCACGTACGAGGTGCGTTTCCTGTGTGTACATTGCTGAAACTTCTGCACCTTTCAAAGCTGACTTTCAAGATGGAGAAAGCAGAAGTTTGGGGAGTCAAGCTGGGGACTGGGCTGTGCAGTCTTTACTGACTGCCCTCAACAAAAGTGACCACAAAGCCTGTTACTTATTTTTTTTTTAATTTACTTTTTCATTGTGGGGGAAAACACAAATTTTGCGTCTTAAGTATTTAGTTCAGTGTTACTAAGCACCTTCACCTTCTTGTGCAACCCGTAGCATCCTCGTGTTGAGTAAGAGTGGGAGTGTGGAGGCCCTGGTCTCTTTCTGACTGTAGAGGAAATGGTTTCAGTTTTTCCCCGTTTAGTATGACGTTCACTGTAGGTGTCTCATAGCCTTAATTATGTTGAGGACTGTGTCTTCTGTTCCTAGTTTCTTCAGAGCTTTTGTCATGAAAAGAGGTTGAATTTTGTCAAAGGTTTATCCTGCAGCAATGGAGATGGTTGTGTTTTTTGACTTGGGTTCAGTGGATGTGCTGTGTTACACTTTCATCGCTCGAATAAAACCAACTTGGTCATGGTGTGTGATCCGTTTTATGTGCTGTTGAATTCTGTTTGCCAGTATTCTGAGAGGTGTTGGGTCTGTGTTCATCAAGGGAATTGGTCTAGAATTTTCTTTTATTGTTGTGTCTTTGTCTGATTTTGGGATCAGTGGGAAACTGTCACACAGAATGAGCTTGGTAGCATTCCTTTCCTTTTTTCATGGACTAGTTTGAGGGGTGTTGGTGTTGGTTTTTCCTGGAAGGTCTGGTAGACTATTTATTACAGCTTCATTCTCATTGTTTGTTCTAGGTCTATTTGAGTGGTTTACATCCTCTTGGTTCAATTTTGGTAGGTCAGATGCATCTAGAAATCTATTTACTTCTCGCTTTTCCAGTTTGTTAGAATCTAAGTTTTCAAAGTATTCCATAATGATCATCTGGATTGCATTGATATTTGTTATGATATCCCCTTTTCGATCGCTGATTTTATTAATTTTGGTCTTTCTCTTGCATCTTTTGGTTAGCTTTAGCCCTTGGTTTTTTGAGACAGGATCTCACTTTGTAGCCCAGGCTGGCCTGGAACCTGCAATCCTCCTGCCTCAGCTGAGTGCTGGGCTTACAGGCGTGTACCATTGCATTCAACTCTGCTAACTCCTCATCTCCCTTTTCTTCAGTGCTTAAGATCTGATCAGTTAATATGGCATTTTCCATGCTACATTGTAATTTACATTATTTCACCTGTCATTTAAACCAGGCTGCTAAGGGGCAGACAGTTTCTGTTCAAAAATGATGTGTCTTTTCTGGTATTCAGCAAGGGTTCTTCAAAGTGTTCTGGTGTGACAAACGCTTGTTTAATGAATGCAGGTGGCAGAGAAGGAGGCACAAGAACACAAGGATGCCTGTGCAGATGGACACGCCTACACTGTCTGGCCATGGCCGCTTTCCTGATAGCACAGCACACATGATTCTCCAAGTTCTGACACATTTTGTCCTCTGCAGGATTATCTGCCTCTCCCCTGAAGATACTCTGCACCCCAGAAGGAATCAGACTCCAGTGTTTCATGAAGTACTTCACAGAGGAAATGAAAGTCAACTGGTATCACAAGTAAGTATGGGGTCAAGTGACTGTGGCCGTGCCAGGCTCGTGGCTATACATGGCGTTCAGCAGCAAATGCCCAGCTCCTTCCGTGCCCTGGGGGCTTTGCAGTTCCCAGTAGTTGAGAGAACCTTTGGCTGTGCATGGCTGACCAGCAGCGGGGAGGGCCTGGGTGAAAGAGCAAGAAAGAAAATGCTCAAAGGTGTTGGGGACGAATTCCTCAAGTCTGGTGAGCACCAGAGGTGGCCCTGCTCGTATCATGTTTCATGTGGGAGTGAGCAAATTGCTGCTCAGAAACCAGGCTCAGATTCCCGCCAACAGGTTCCCACTAGATTGAGTAAAAAGACAAGGACCCTAACAAGCCCAGTAATCAAAATGAAGAAGGGTCAAGACCAAGCTGTGTAAACAGCTTGCTTCTCCCTGTCATGCTTCTCCCTGTGGGACAGGACTGACTGCTTAAAACAGATGCTAGGAGATGCCCCCATGAGTCACCCATGGGGAGATCCTGCCAGCTCCTCCCCCAGGGGTCTGGCTCTTCTGGTCTGGCTCTTCAGATCTGTGTTCCAGGCTCATGCTGAGACCAGCCAGCGAGAGGGACCTCTCTGTGTCAGGGTCACCATCCCTATAGGACAATCCACAGACCAGGGTGGGCCTGAGGTGGGGCAGCAGAGCAGGGCTTTGCCTTTCTGTCCACCTCATCTCTAACCTGAGGGCCCCAGGGCAGCATCTTCAGGTCCATTGTAAATGGTGTCACAACCAGATCTGCTGCTGCTCGGGGAACTGTCCCCAGAGTGCCACACTGCGAATACTTTGACAGAAAGTTGTGGTTATGATTATCTCATTTTTAAAAATATTATTTTGTCTAGACAAATCTATTTGTGATTAAATTGTAGTTCTGAAGGGGACATATGTTCTTGGATTTTTCCCTGTTCACATTTTAACGTGCCACGCATTTGTCTTGGATGTTACCTTTGGACATAAAATAATGCATATCCGGGCTCCAGTGCATCTGGGCTCGTCGTGCATTCTGTGTTTTGGAGACGTCAGTGTCAGTGTCAGATGGAGTCACGACAGGTTGGCGTTGAGGACTTGGTTAGGAGTGTGTGTTAAAGGCAGGGCACCGAAACTCTGGTCATTTCTGTGATGTGATTGTTATAAGGATTTGTTTTTAAGGCAATGAGTAAACCTGTTTCCGGCTGAGATATCAAATCCATCGCCCCCTTCTCTCTGCTTCCTGGCTTATGGCTGCTTGTCTTGTGGTGGGCTACTCCAGGTCATTGTGTGTGTCTCATGTTACATCATGAACAAGCTGTGCCCAGGGCAGGCTGCCCTTCCTCACACTGTCAGGCTTTTCACAGGACCGTGCTGTGTGCTGGGTCTGGGGTGCAGAGATTAAGCTCGGGCCTGTGCACACCTTCATGAGCGCACAGGTGTGTGGATTTGCTCTGTGTCAGCACCGGCATGCAGCCACTTTGAGTTAAACACTGAGCACATCATTCCTCGTCAACACCCCATGACTTGGACATTGACACCTCCAAGTCACACATGTGCACACCGAGGCCTAGTGCAAGAGATGTGAGTCGCTTTGTACGAAGTTGTACAACTAGTGAGTGAAGAGGCGAACTGAATGCTAGCTCGTCTGAGCCCCTGTCCCCAAATACCTCAGAAGCAGCAAGGCTGATGGGGGCTGATGACAGACAGACAGGGCAAAGGCCACAGGTCTGACCCACCCTTAATGCTGGATCAGAGCGGTCACTAGGGAAGGAAATATCACTGCAAATCCCAGACTCATAAGACTACACTACGCCCACATCTCCTCCTCCCAAACGTAACTTGTTATACAACAGAGCAGGTATTTTTCTTAGAACGTTTATAAGCAAATATGACCCTTAGACCTTGAATCGATAGGTAAGCAAACAATATGTGACTTTTAGCTCATTTTATTATTTTACTACTGAATAATATCAATATCAACCTATTGAACTATATTATGGGTTTATTTTCCACCACTAAAACATGACATTGGGTGAAATTCCAGTTTTTCACTATGAAGCGAGTTACAACCAGCAGCTGGAAGGAGAGTAAAATGGATGAATGCTGAGATGTGAGATGGCTTTTGACGTCAAGCCAGTCCACAGGAGACACAGGATCGATATGGTGCGAGGAGAATTTTGCAAATTGCCAACATAAGCAAGGAAGTTTGTTCTCCGGTTCCAAAATGTCGAGTCGTATGTCAAGAAATGTAGCCAGTGCCACCTCACAGAAAGGGCTGGAAATTATTCTGTGTGATTTAGAAGCAGAAGGGACTCAGCAAAAGTGGTCTCCAGAGAGAGGGTTTTGTTTTCCTGTGCAGGGCGGAATTGGGCCACCACACAGACGTGGCTAGACCTCAGTTGGTAAAGTACTGACCACAAAGGGACCCAGTCACTGAAGCAATTCTCTGTGTCTCCATAGAAAAGAAAAAACAAAACCAGCAAAACCATCACCTGTGTCCTCAGGTAGTACATTTTACATCAGTGTAGAGATTGAGCAAAATCCCCTGAATTCTCAGAGGACCCTTGAGCTATCAGCCTGGGCAAAAGTGCAAAGCCCTATCTAAAAAATAACCTAAAGCAGAAAGGCTTGGGGAATGACTCAAGTGTTAGAGCACCTGTGTGTGGCGTGGCTGATGAGGTGGGAACTTGGTGGTCTATCAGCTTAAGGTTTCTCTTTCTGTTAGTGTGAATTAATTGTATAAACACTGGTGTTTTCATGCATGTGCACAATGTGCCATGCTCAAATCCGCCATCTTTCTTTTTACTTATTTTTCCATCCCGCCTTTAAAAACAATTTAGTGAGCTCATAGTTCCATCATATTCACCCCCTATGCCCTCTCCTTTCATCACCCCAAACAGTCCCAGTTTATAGTCCTTTCATTCATTTTCTAAGGTCTAGATTCTGCACCTGAGATGTACAACATTTGTCTTTTGGATCTGCCTTATTTCACTTAGAGTGGTCTCTGGTTCCATCCATTTTCCTGCAAATAATGTAATTTCAATCTTCTTTATGGCTGAGTAATATCCCATTGTGTACATGTACCACATTTTCTTTATCCACTCATTAGCTACCTAACATTAGTTTAGGTATTGTGAATAGTGCTACTGTAAACATGGATGTTCAGGTGTCTCTGTTACATGCCCAGGAGTGGTATAGCTGGGTTGTATGGAGAACAATCCAGTTTTCTGGGGAACACCATATTGATTTCCAGGGTGTCAGCTTAAGATGATTGGTCTGTTTTTATCTGTCTTTTCCTGAAGGGATTTTAGTCTTGCTTTCTTTCCTCCGTCTCTCACAGCAGACGTTTGAATGCCTTTCTACCTCTGCATAGGCACAGCCCATCCATGGATAATTTAGCTCCTGGAGGAAGAGTGACTTGAGTTGATGGAGGTCATCGTCCCCAGCCCTCAGACACACATAGCACGTGGTGTACTGGAAGTAAGCAGGCTGTGTAGTCACTGCTGGCTCTCAGGAGCCAGGGCTGGTCACACAGCTTTCCGAGCAGAGGGCAGATTCCTGGTGTGGCTGAACGTCCCCTTTCGAAAGACAGGGAGCACATCACAATCCTGAAGCAGCACCTAGTCACTGTGGGCGGGATGCAGTGTGGGGGACAGAGCTCAGGCCTCATCCTCGAGTCCACTCACAGAAACTCCTCTTCTGGCATCAGAGTCACCAACGGCATCATTGGTGATACCTGCTTCTGTGTGTGTCCCTGTGAACTGTAAAGAGCCAAGCCTGACCCTCGTGTGGACAGCTCAACAAAGAGGGTGGCAGGAAGACCAGGCCTCAGTCCTGGGCACCGTGCTTCTGTGCTCGGAGAGGCTTGGTATGCTTGTTGATTGGCTGTTTTCTTGGAGGGCTTATGTGTTGTCAATAAACTATTACAGCTGGTTCAGCTCCCCACAGGTCTATGGTTGCTGATTTGCTGATTTGTCTATTGACTTCAAGTGCCTTCGGGGACAAAGAAGGCTGCCGTAACCAAGCTGTGACCTTTCTTCTGGTGCCCATGTCCATTTGTTTGGCTTCTCACTGTTCTTGGCAGTTTGGAATTGGGGACGGAGTGGCTAGTCCATCACACAGTGCATTTGTAGTGAACGATTTTTTTCTTTTCTGCAGAACCGAGAATCACTGTGTGAAGTGTGATTTTTCTTTGTGTGTAGGGATGGGAGGTCTGAGTCCTGGAATGGCCTGTCCATCACTTTAGTAATGGAGATCTTGCTGTGAGCTAACAGGAGGCCTGGTGTTGTGCAGGTGCCACTCAGGGTAACACCTGCCTCATGCTATCTGCAGGGAAGAGCCAGGCCTGCTGGGGGGCAGCCTGGACTGTGGGCACTTGGCATTCTCAAGCCCCATGGTTCCTGACTGCTGACCTTGCTGTCATGGGGTCTTGAGGGAATAACCCCTCCTGCTCACCTAGTGGCCTGGGTGGACTGCAGACAAACAGCTGGCAAAGGAAAGGGTTGTGCTGCTCAGGTCTCCCTTAACCAGGCTCTGGTCAGTCACTTGCAGAACGGACCCCCTTGGGCTGAGGGACCTTTTGGGATTGTGCAGTTTGATTCCCTGTCCCCTTGCTTCTGGGGCACTGATAGAAGAGGGTGAACTAACAAGTTCTGGATGTGGGCTGTGCCAGGCATTGGCACATCTCACTGAATTCCTAGAACAGCCCTGTGAAGTGGGCGTTACTTTGTCACTTACACAGAGGTTCAGAGAGGCTGAGTCCTCTGGAGCCAATTCCAGGAGCTCAGGACAGAAGCCACAGGCAGCCCTCCTGGCCCTGACCCCCACAGGGCTCTGCCTTCCTGAGAGCGCGGGATCCCATGTGCCCTCCTGCTAGGAGTGCTCTGCTGTCCACATTCACACGCTCTGACCTGATGGCCTTCAGCCCCACTTCTTGGCTTCTCTTGGAGCTGCCCCAGTTTCCTTCCCACTCTTCTCCAACTTCACCCCTGTGGGTACTCTGGTGTTCTGTGTTAATGTGGTCTGTGGACACACAGATGAGTGTCACCCACCTGAGCTACTTCTGTCTCCAGAGAATGTGTTTTTACTGTGGGCTTGATATATGGCCATGGAACATGAGGCAGGAGGCTGTCTTGGTGAGGAGGGCTGGAGAAATCTTTTACCTGGTGAGCCAGGGAGCACACGGAGGTTGGCGGGGGTAAGAAACACAGCTAAGCCATGGCTGCTTACAGACCAGGCTTACAAGCCATGGTTTGCTCTGCAAACCCCCGACCTGGCCGAAGTCATCCAGCTCTCACCGTGGAGCTGGTGCATGAGAGAAGGGGTCTGCGTTCCAGCCTGTGTGGCCCTGAAACGCTGACCTCATGAGCCTGTGCTGCGACTTCTGCAAGGTCATCTCTTGTCTACAGTAAGTGGGTCAGCTTGGCCTGTGGTGGATGTGGTGGAGTCAGGAGGCACTGACTTCATTTTTACCCAAACCTTACACGTTGTGGGAGTGTACATGTATACAAAATTTACCACTGTAGCCGTTTGTAAGTGTACAGCCACCATCACTGTCCACATCCAGAGTGGGCCATTTATAAAACTGAACCTCTGTCCCCATTAAACACGAATCCGCCATCCCCTCCCCTGGCATTCCTCATCCTCTTTCTGACTCTGAGTGTGACAACTCCAGGGACCTCACAGGGCTGGAAGCGTACAGTGTTCTCTTACTCACTGCTCATTTTACTTAGCATAGCGTCCTGAGGATTCACGCATATTGTAGAATGTGCCAGAATTCCCTTTCCTTTTAAGGCTGAATAATATCCCACCATATGGATAGAACACAGTTCACATATCAGCTCATCTTCAGTGGACACGTGGGCTCACAGGCTGGCTGTTGTGAGAAGTGTTGCTGCAGACGTGGCTGGGCACGTGTGTGTCCACTCTTCTAAACCCTTTTTTGTACAGACCCAGCAGTGGGATTGCTGGACCACACCGTCATCCATTGTTTAATGCAGCGAGGAAGATCCATTCTGTACGGAGCGTTTTGAAGTCCATCATGCTGTGACAAGTGTATATTAATTGATAATGTATCTTTAAAATTAAGTATTATTTGATCTTAAGAGGTGTCAGGTCTGAGTTACTGATATGCTTAGTAAATTTGTTAAAGCCAGAAAAATCTATTGTACTATTAACATTAGCAAGTGCTTAAGAGCGGCCTCCTCATATGGAAATGTTAGGACTGCCACTGTGACCTGAACACGACCCTGTCACTTTGTTTTAAAGAGATGCTAAGATTTCATCCAGTGAGCACATGAGGATTGGAGGGAGCGAGGAGATGGCATGGCTGCAGATCTGTGAGCCCACGGAGAAGGACAAAGGGAAATACACTTTTGAGATCTTTGATGGCAAAGACAACCACCAGCGCTCCCTCGACCTGTCTGGACAAGGTAGGAGAAGCAGGCGTTGGCACCTGCCCCTTGTGCTGGGAAGAGGAGATCAGCAAATGATCCATCTGGTTTTATAATTTTCATTCAGAGAAAGCTAGCTCTGTAAACTCACTATCAGTTACTATCAGTTTTCATGAACTGAATGTCTGAAGCACTTACTGACTGTGAAATTTTCCCTTCCAGCGTTTGACGACGCCTTTGCAGAATTCCAGCAGCTCAAGTAAGATGCACACGTTTGGTTTTTATTCTGTCAGAGAGAGTCTGGTTGATGGGGAATCATTCTGGCTGTGGACGGGAACATCTTAGTGCAGTTTAAGTAATTCAGCAGCAGAAGAGCCGGCATTCTTCTGAACTAGAAACGCACCTATGACTTGACTTTCTAGGGGCATTAGGAACCTGGGGTACCTTAAATGATTAAAGTGACAAATTTCTGAAAACGTGACAATCACAGTGACCTGTTACACAGATCAGCTTTCTCAAAGAATGGTTTGAGATTCTCAAACAAGTCTGAGCCTCGGGGTATCCAAAGCTGAGATCAGCTGTTGGCCCTTATGAAGTTATTTAGTACCTTTATTGAGTGGGTGGTTGACCAGTAAGATAGAAACTCAGTTCAAAAATACCTGAAGTGTCCAATACCATTTGGTGACTTGGGTGCAAAATGACCCCTCCTACAACCTCGAGGTGCACATTAGTCTTCCTTGCGTCTTCCCTCTGGATGACACATTTCTCATCTCAAAATGGCCAAGGATGATTTCAGGAAGAACACACAGTCAATCTGCAGGTTATGTACTTGCAAATCCAGGCAGACAGGACTAAGAACTTAAAAAAAAAATTGCATCTGTGCTGGACACCTATAGACTTTTTTCTTGTCCTCATTTCCTAAACAATACAATGTAACAACTGTTTTCATAGCAGTTACATTGTATTGGCATTCCAAGTAATCCAGAGAAGACATAGAGCATGTGGGAGGGTGTGCGCAGGTTTCATGCAAAAACTGTGTCACTTATATAAGGGACGTGTTTTTGTGTCTTTGGGGCCAGCCCTGGAGCCTGTGTCCCTTGGATACAGAGGGATGGGGGGATGACTGCATAGATACGGCCCCTCTGGCCCTGGGGGGTGGGGGTGGAGGGTCTGCATTCTGAGAAGCCAGCATATTTTCTTCTTTCTTTGCTCTCACGTTAGCCTACCTCTGGAATGTGTGGGGCACTTTTGTCAGCTCCATTTCTCAGTGCTCTCTCTTTATTCTCTCCTCTCTCTTCCCTGTCATTTCCAGGGCAGCTGCATTTGCAGAGAAGAGTAAGTACACGTTAGATGGGCAGAGGGAGGGTACCTCACAGGACTAACTTTGTGCAGCAGAGAACAGTCAGCATCCTTCCTGTCCGGGTTTGAGTGCATCCTGCTCCTGACCGCACTCCTTGCCTGGCCTGTTTCTCTTTCCTGCCCCCACCCAACCATGCGAGATCTTGCTCCCCAAATGTCCACACCCCATCCTTCTGACAAGTCAGGATGCAGCCTTCCCTGCCTCCTTTCTGCTGTGAGGCCTCCTCCCCCCAGCAGGCTGGCATTGTATTTTCTGGAGTGTCACCCCATCCCCTTACAGTGTAATTTACCCCTTGTCTGTATTCCCGTGGCCTCTGGTCTCTTCCTCCACAGTGGATATACCTATACTTTTCTATCATGTCCTTTCCCTGGGGTGTGCACACCCCTCCCTGCTTCCACACGGTGCCACGTGGTGCCATGCAGGCCTCCTGCGGGAATGGCCTGTCCATGCTGCTCAACCCAGTTCCTCCTCTTACAGATCGTGGCAAGGTGATTGGTGGCTTACCTGATGTGGTGACCATAATGGAAGGCAAGGTAAGAACAAGGAGGAAGGCTGCACCCCCACACCCACGTGTGTGAAGGTGTAAGCCACCCGTTTCTTGTGTGAACAGCCCCGACTTTTAGCAAACAAAAGGAAAAAGTCTCTGCTCCAGTTCCCAAGGTCATGTTGGGATACAGAACGGGAACCACTTAATTCCTTGTCCATCAGTGGTGTATGGATAGCCAAGTGGAGTTTCCCTGGATGCTCAGTGGTTCTAACTCAATGTCATAGGGACACCAAAACACGAGAGATTTTTTTAGGTCCAAATGGAAAATGTATAGGCTTCTCCTCAGCAGCTATTGGAAGCCCAGAGAGCCCCAGGCAGGAATCATCATGGGCCTCACATAAATGACATCACTGGGATATGGGCGGTGTTTGCCCTCCATCGTGGACCAAGGCAGGTGCTGAGCAGGCGTCAAGCAAGCGTTTTGGAGCCCCAGTTACTGCTTCACACGATCTCTGGATTTGCCAGAGGAATTGATAAGAGGGATCCATATGTCTAAATAGATAGGGAATTTAGGAACGGACTGCAAACTGGGGGATTTCCCCACCTTCACCTGTTTGACCGACTCAGCGAGGGTTAGTCCTGGGAGTAAATTCAGTCAAACCTATTTCCACTAGTTTTCTCATGAGCTGTGTGGCACTGGCCCCTCTGTCCTGGCTCCCTTTGGTGCCTGAGTCTACAAAGGGCTGTTGACTGAATAATGTCACTAAGCATGACTAAGAGCAGCTACCCCCCTCAGGGAGCAGAGGACCTGCCTTTTTCTAACTCTTTTTCTCTGTCCACCTTTCCCTCCGAAGACCTTGAACCTGACCTGCACGGTGTTTGGAAACCCTGACCCCGAAGTGGTTTGGTTCAAGAACGACAGAGACATTGAGCTGAGCGGGCACTTCTCGGTGAAAGTGGAGCAGGCCAAGTACGTCAGCATGACCATCACGGGGGTGACCTCTGAGGACTCCGGCAAGTACAGCATGAGCGTCAAGAACAAATACGGAGGAGAGAAGATTGATGTCACTGTCAGTGTGTACAAGCATGGGGAGAAGATCCCAGAGGCCTCTCTGCCCCAGCAGGCCAAACCCAAGCTCATCCCTGCGTCCACTTCTGCATCTGAATAAGGGCTGTTTTCCAGCTCCGGGAGAAAAAGCCTGGGAGTTGTAGGAATGCTGTGTGCTGTGCTGAATGAGTGCCAGGACCTGAGCGATGTCATGTGTGGGCAGATAGCCAATGGCACACTAGGCTTCTGAGTTTTGCATTCGTGGTTATTATTTTATGTCTAAGCGGAGAGCTAATTTTCTGCAGGGTGAACAGTTTGCATGGACATGAGGTGAATGAGCAGGTGGGGAGGGGACAGCTCACATGGTCACAGTCACAGGCACATGGGAGCAATGCCAAGTGTGTCCAGCATGTGGTATTGTGGGGAGCTGCCACTGCCCAGTGGTGGGCGATGCTGGTGCCTGCAGGGCCTGGCAGCTCCAGAACCCCACTGTGGAGGTCTGCTACCTGGTTATACTGTTTTCTTTCACGATAGGCTGATAATACTTTAAAAAGCAACTTGTGGTTTCTCTGTACCCAAATCCTACCTAACCCTATCTTCCTCTCCGGGCTTGCTTCAGTGTGGATTTTCACGCACCTTCACAGCATGTGGACGGTGCACTTAGAGTCCAGAGAGCCAGGCGAGGTGCAGAACCCCCTGTGGGACTGGGCACCCGGCCTACACGGACCTGCCACATCCCAATTCCTGAGAAGCGTGTGTCTTGTGGACGTCAGAAATGTTACTTGGATTTCGTACATGGAGTAAAGAGCCTCTGCAGAGGAAAACAAACTGTGTGGCTGACTTTGTTCTTAGTGTGCTAGCTAATTAGGGAGGAGGTCCAAAGGGAGGAAGACACTCATCTGAAGGGACAATTGTCACAGCCATGGAGAGAGAACGAGGTGAACAAGTCTTTTCTTTGAACTTCGTGTTTTTTGGAAAGAGGCTGAGATTCCTCTGGCATGAAACTCCCGCCCAAGGATTTCAGTGTAATAGTTACTTTAGTGCAGAAAAGGCTTGGGTCGTTAAGAACATTTTATCGCTCTGGGTCATTAGGGACAATCCCAGTTTTATGACATTTTGTTACATTTTTCTAAGGTGACCATAGCTGTTCTGAAGTTTAAACTCATTCTTAATGCCACAGAGGTCAGTGGAGCAGGTCCTGAAGCAGCAGAGTGAGTTTTGGCCAGGGGCAGAAGATTTTTTTTTTCTCTCATGTGCAACTCCAGAAGCATCCTTGCCAGCATAGGCACGGACACTTTTCTGTACTCAACATGTGTTTAGTTAAACAGAATTAGCTTTCATTTTGAGCACTCTTTTCTGTCTAGCAATTGTGGTTTGCAGGAAAGAATTTAAATCATTGTGAATTTCTTAAACCACATATATTGTAAAAACAGACTTTTTGAAGAGCAGTTTAAGACCAGAGGAAAATTGAGACGAAGGGACAAAAAAGTCTTTCACATTCCTGCTCCCACTCATGTACTCCAAGTTAAAATTCTGATGGAGCCAGGCGTGGTGGTGTGCACCTGTAATGCTAGTATTCAGGAGGCCGAGACAGGAGGATAACGAGTTCAAGGCCAACCTGGGTCACATAGGGAGATCCCGTGGTTAAAAACAACAAAGCAAAACAAAACAACCCCGACGGAGTATTGCATTTGTCACAATTGATCATCCTGTGTTGATGTGTCACAATCACCCACAGTCCGTGGTCCAGGTGTCAGTCCACTTCCCGTGCTACAAGGACATTCGGTGTCACACAGAGGTTCAAGGACAGAGTAGACATCAACTCGGCTCTGGGGAGGCTCTCAGGGTGGATGTCACCCCGTGGAGGAAGGGCGTGCAAGCAGAGGTCATACGTGCACTCAGGAAGCCAAGCTGGGCAAGGTGCACCTGCTCACCCTGGAGAGAACCAACCAGGTGTCCCACCGCCCCCAGCACAGCCACCCTAGGACCACGCTGCCGACCGTGAGTCCTTGGGAGACAAACTCAGATCCTCTGCACCACAGCACTGGCTTTGGTCAGGAACATGTATCCACTACGTGTGTCACTGTGCCCTACACAGACGCCTCATTGGTCTGAAAATCCTCCCTCCACCTCCAAGAACCAGTGATCATTTTACTATCTCCAGTTTTCCTCCTAACATTTAAAATATCAGCCTTTGATTTCACATAGTCTTAGATAAACAGAAACTTGTGAGGACAATGTGGGGAGCTCACACACCCCTGTGACAATGTCCTTGTCATAGCATACATTTCCATGGTGCAGTTGTCACAAAAAAGTGGGTGTGTTACTGTCACCTCAGCTCCGGATGGCATCTGGTTTTCTACCAGTGCCATGTCCTGTCCCAGAATCCCACCCATGACACCAGCCACGTTAGTTGTCACCTCCCCCTCTCCCCTGTTGAGACAGAAGTCTGTCCTGTCTCTTGCTTTGATGACTGAGGGATTCTGGCCACGTGTCCTGTGGAGCATTCTTCTATCCAGTGTGAGGGACGCCCTTTTTCATGGGTAGAGGGAGGCTGTGTGCATTTGGGAGAAAGCATCACGTTGAGTCAGGGTGTCTGGCACCCATGTGCACCCGGGCATGTCAAGCCGCACCCCTGGGGAGCAGCGTCAGTGAGCTTCTCCAGGTGAAGTCACGGATTTCTTTCCTAGTCTCTTCTGGGGATGTGAGTCAGCATCTCCCCCCACCCCCTGCTGAGGGCACAGAGTGTGGAATTAGACTCTACGTCTTAGAGCAGCGAGGATCTAAGTAGAATATTTGGAACCCTTTTGCAAGAAAATCCATTTTCCCTCCTTACTTCTTACTTAGCCATTTACTCTCATTCACACAGTGCACGTGCTCTACTTTACACTTCGGGTGACAAGCCAACACTGCGTTGTATCCTATTGGTCAGATTGGTCTGGCACTGGCCACAGAGTCCAGGGGGCCCTCTTTCATCTCAGGTCCTGTGACCCAACACTTGTTGAACACATCAGTCTTCCACGCCCATGCTACTCAGTGTCCTTTTCCTGCCCCAGTCCTAGAACAGCTGTGTTTCTAAGGACTCTGACTCCTCTTGATGGAGAATGGAATCAGAAACCTCGATCTGGGTGCTGAGGTCATTTGGTGCTCTGGTCCCACACCCTCAGCTGCAGTAGTTATGCTGACGGACGTCTGAAGATTTGGACACTGTTTCTGCTCCCTTGAGGATCGCATGTGAAGAAGTCGTACCTGGGAAGGACGTCTTGACTGTCCACTGATGGCGACTGGGCTTTGGGCTCTCGGGAAAAGCTGCACATTGCCATCACTTCTCTTGTGTTTTCTTGTATTGGTTGCACAGTTTGAGGTCTTACACTTGAAGGGTCCTTACCAGGCTGAGCAGACTTTTCTACACGGTGTGAGAAAAGGTCCAGTGTCATTCCCCAGTTTTCCCATAACATTTATTGAAAAGACCGTTCTTCCTTCATCATATGTTCTTGGAACATTTGTCAAAAACCAGTTGACCGTACATGTGGGGTTCCTTCCTGGGCTCCATCCTGACCTTTGTTTACCATTCGTCTTCTGGGAAGATTTTATGTGAGGTCCACGGCCTCTTCTCACATCACTCACACACAGTCATAGAGCTACTGAGAGCTCATCCCTTTCTGTGCTTACACTTTCTCTCCATGCAATGACTACTTTGCAAGGATAAAGCCCTGAGTTCAAACCCCAGTCCCACCAAAAGAACCGGGACTGGATCTCATTTCTTTCTAAAATGCTTCAAACCCTAACAATAGACAAAGGAATTTTGGATACACTTTTGGCAATGATTACAAATTTCTACTTTCATGACTACGTTACAGATAACATTCATGCTTGCAATATGAAGTGGTCCCCAAACTCGGTTTTATGTGACCTGCTATTTGATGCTTATGTCCACCCTATGCACACATAGTGTGATCCAGTTTCAAACAGCCTGGGAGCCACGATTTCTGTAGTGTTCACCCCTGCAGCAGCTCACAGGCACTGGAGTGCCCAGCTGGCCTCCCAGGCTGTGGCATGGAGCATAAGTGTGGCCCTGGCAGGGGGACAGACGCCAGCCAGTCTTGCCCAAGCCCATGCCTGGCTGAAGGGCAGTGCTGCCTGGGGTTTTCTTCTCAAACCCTGCTTCCCCTGTGTCAGCTTTGAGGCCGCCTGTCTGCTGGGAAAGGATGTCAATGAACACTGCCCAGGGCTGGGTTCTCGGCAGGGCTTGGCGCTCCAGGCTCACAGGAAGCCAGGCCTGACTGGACTCTGAGCAGCTCTGTTCTCTTGGCTTTTGTGGTGAAATTTGCTCCAGGTCTGGCTCAGTTCCTTTCCTGTGGAAGCTGCCAGTTTCTCTCTGTTCTGGCTTGGGGATAAAGTAAGAAAACCATGCCCTCAGAGGAACTGGTTCTGTCTTTTAGCCATTCTCCTTAGTAAGTTAATGAACTTGAAAGATTCCTCCAGCCTGGCTTCCTGTGGTCACACCCCGAGGAACCACTAGATGGCGCTCAGACAACAGCTTCCCAGTGCTGCTCGCTGGCCCGTGGCCTCCTTGGTGTAGACGCAGGGCTTAGCCAATAAAGATTGTTCACAGGCATCAGAGTCACCCCAGTGACAAGGACAGGCCTGGCAAATTAGTGTGTCCAGGAAATAGCAGGTCATTCTGAAGGCAATCATCTAGCTTCTTAATCTTCTTAGAAGGAATAAAACACACCTTGTGAGCTGTTCACATTCTTATTACATCACCGAAGCCATAAAAATGTGTGAGCTCTCTGCTTGTTAAGTTTGGGGTATGAATTTTAAATATGTCATGATTCAAAGAGGCACGTCGAAGGCAGCAGGCTCCCTCACTTTTCAAACTGGAAATCATGGCATGGGGAGTTTTCACATTAAGCAAGAGATGCTACAAAGCTGTCACCCAGCCGGGGGAGGGGACCAGGCAGGACCTCCTGGGCCTTCAGGGAGCTGAGTTTGCCCAGGTGTCCTTCTTTGTCCTTCATCATTTCTTCTGGATTTTTAAAAAGACCTTTCCAGTCTGTAGATTTGGGAGGGGCAGCGGGCTGTAGGCACTAGAAAGGTCTCTCAGCTTCTGTTTTACAGTGAGTAAACACGGTTAGCTCTGTCATCTTAAAAAACAGTTAATTGACTCTTTGAGGTGTAGTCAAGTAATGAATGGAATGAAAGATCACATATGATAGTCTCATTTTTCACTGGCTTAAAATGGATTAAATCCTACATTTTACCTGCAGAATCATGGGCATATTTTTAAACAAAGAGAGCTTATTAAAAAGGCATATTAAAGGAACCTATTAAGAGAGTATATTAACAATGAAAATTAAAAAAGAGAACCTTAAATCCGTTCAGCTTTACGGACCCGAAAGGAACAGCACGGTATCCCTTTGCCCCTCTTTCCCCAACTTTATCACTTTGCTCCCCTCTTCAGCCCTCAAGCAAACACATTGACTTTTCTGCTTTAATTTTATTAAAGAGGGTCATCTGCTTCCTTGGTAACACAAGCATCGTTCCTTTCATTTCTTTTAATATTTTGCTGAAATCACGGAGAACCCCCAGTGTGATGTGTAGGAAGAATGCGGACTGTTTGCTTAGCTCAGCTCAGTTGGAGCCTGGTGGGTGCCTCGAGCAGATGGCATTTCTTCTCTGTGTCTCAGTTTCCTTAATCTGTAAGAGTGGGACCAGCTGTCTCAAGAGCTTCAGCCATGTGTGCACAGGGACTTCACCTGCATCCTTCACGATTCCCGAACACACCAGTACCCTCCATCCCCACTCAACCAGGTTAGCTTGTCTCAGATACTGGCCATTCCCATAAGATGACCTTCCATCTGTTCACGGGACCCTCGCTTTTTATTTCAGATCATCTAACTGTTGTTCAAAGGTGTCCCAAGGCACCTCTCAGGGTTTTAGGGTATCGTAATTTCGTTTGCCTTTTGGTGACTGCTAAATACAACACCCCAATTCTGCCTTTGCTGAGCTGACAGCCGAGCACTGTCACGCAGCTCAGAGGTGGGTGTTGCAGAACAGCCATCCTCAAGCTTCCTGGCCTTCTGTGCTGGTCACTTGCTGGCAGGAATCCCAGGTCTGTTTG